GATATTTGGGTTTGGTTTATTACATTTAGCTTGATGGTCTCAAGTTCCATTCCTTTCCCTGCAAACAATACGATTTCATTCTTGGTGGCTGAGTAATATTTTATTGTGTGTCTCCACCATATTTTTTCCCCATTCATCTGCTGATGGGCATCCAGGCAGTTTCCAGTGTCAGCTATTGTAAATTCTCCACTATAAACATAGGGATGTATGTGTCGCTATTAGAGACATTTTTGACTGTCACAATATTGAGGCCTGCCATCAGCTGGGTAGAGAGGCCAGGGATGTGGCTAAAAATCCTACAGTGTTCAGAACACCTGGCCTTCCACCCCACATAGCATGATCCGGCCCAGGAAAGGCCTACAGACGAAGCTGCGTGTGAGAACCCTCTGCTGTCTGACCAGTCACGCTTCGTGGCTTCCAGCTCTGCAGCTCGGGAACCCCCAGGGTCCTTGAACTCATCAGGGGTTGGCGGGTGGGAGTACCCAGCACCCTGCTGGGCTCACCATCTTGGGTTCCCAAACAGCTCTGGCCCGCTTGCCCTGCCTCCTTGCTCCGCACCTGCCTTCTGCAGGTCTCCAAATTCAGGGAGAGGGGTGGGCTCTGGGTCTGATCTGCTGTGCACCTATGGGTTCTCCAACAGCTTCTCTCAGACTGGTGCAAAGACCACCCGGGGCGGGGTGGGGGAGTGGTGAGGTACCGGGAAGCCGGAGGGTGGTAGTGCACTCCTGTAATCCCAGCACTCAGGAGGCTGAGGCAGGAGGATCGTTACGAGTTTGAGGCCAGCCTGGGCTACAAAGTGAACTCCAGTCCAGCCCTGCACTGTCTCAAAAAGACAAAAAAAAAAAAAAAAAAAAAAAGACCACCGTGCGGCAGCCAAAGGTGTGGCCTCCCGGGGCCCCTTGGAGAGTAAACGAATGGTAGATAGGGAAGCGCTCTGCCCTGTGTAATCTACCACACAGATACCGACGCGCAGGGGCTGGGGATTTAGCTCAGCGGCACAGCCAGCACCTGCCTGGCAAGCGCAAGATCGTGAGTTCGATTCCCGGTACCGGAAAAAAAAAACAAAAACCAGATACGTATGCACAGAACTCCAGCCCTAGTGGGGCTGAGGTGGAGGGCTGGTTCCCTCACTTCCAGGCCCAGCCTCAGCATCCCCTTGTGGACATGACTTCCGTGGCCTGCACAGCGGAGAGTGAACAAGGACTGGCGCTGACCCTGGCTTTAGGGAAGGGGCAGTGCGGGGAAGCTGGGGATTGAACCCAGGGCCTTTGCACTAAGCTACAGCTCTAGCCCATTTTTAAAATATTTCTTAAGACAGGGTCTCTCTAAGTCATGGAGTTGCCCGGACTGGTTTCCAACTCACAACCCTGCCTCAGCCTCCCAGATTGCTAGCATTACAGGCGTGTGCCACTGCACCCCAGCTGATCTTTAGCTTTTTTTAGGTACGTGTTCAATCTAAGCATCCCAGCAGTCCGGGGAGGAAGGACAGAGACACAGTCTACCTTCCCACACCCCCAGAAATCACAGCTTTAGAAACAAGGATGCCAGGGCTCCAGAGGCCACTCTAGTCCGGGAAGGCTGTGGGCCTGGAACCCAGGCTAGGGCCTGCAGTGGCCTCAGACCCAGCCTCATGCCTCACGGCCTCTCCTCCCCACAGCTCACCCCCAGACCCCACTCACCTCTCTTCTGATCCCACAGAGCTTCCCGCCATTCCCTCATTCTCCTGACCATGAGCAAATATCCCTTCCCTCCATCCTGCTGTTTGAAAGCCTTTTCTCTTTGGAAGCCCAGTTCTCTTGCAAACTCCTACTCACCCTGCAGAGTCCAACTCCTATCACCTCCTCCAGGCAGCCCCCAGTGACTCCCTCAGAGTCAGCCCACCTGCCTCTGGGCATCGTTCACTCCTTGCCATGGGATCACAGAGGCCACGAGTGCTTGGGGCAGGAGCCGGGCTCTGGTTCTCCCCAGGGCCTGCCCTGTCCTGCCACAAAGCAGGACTCAAATGTCAGCTGGGGGAACAGAATCAACTGAATGAGACAAAAATCTCAGAGGCCAGGGTCCTCACAGCTTCTCAGCCCAGGCTGCATACATGCCACCCTTCAGCTCTGCTGTGAGAGGGGAGCTGGGCTTTCTGCAGATCCTCGTACAATGGTCCTGCGGCTCCATCTTGGATGTTCCTGCCCACCCTCCAGTCTCCACAGCCAGGGGGGCCATGCTGTGGTGCTTGCTCCAGCCCAGGCTCTTGGCCCCTGCAGGACCCTGGGCCCCTTACACTCTCCTGTCTCTTATGTAGGAGTCACGGGGAGCTTGGCTCTGGGCAGGGGCTCTGGATCCTTAGTTTTCCACAGGCCGGAGTCACATGTGACTCTCGGGACTGTCCCTCCACTGAGCCAGGGAGGGTCCCCTCCGGGCACCCTTTCAGCAGCTGCTGTTTCACTGTTTCTCCCCCTCAGGGAGCTGGAAAGAGAGGACCACGGGTACTTGAGCAAGTTTGCTTCTGTGTTTATTACCACACATCTATGTTCTCTTAAATTACACAATTCAAGTGGGCGAACATCTGTCTCTCTGGGAACGCTGCCAGAAAGGAGGTGCAGCCCCTCCTCCCGTCCCCAGTCCCCATCCTGTTGGTCCTGCACCGGGAGGAGGCCCAGCAGCCAGTCATTCACTCAATTAGCTTTTGAGCACACACTATGTGCAAGGCACTATTTTAGGTATATTAACCCCTCCTCACCCACTCTCTCCTCCCTTTGACTCTCTGCCCTTTCTCCCTCCATCAACCCACCCACCCCTTCACACAGTGAGCACTCTCAGATGCCACATGCATCTTGGGTCCTCTGATACATAAGCATCGGAGCACCTACTGTATACATAAGCATCACCAGCAGAACGCTCAGCCCCCTCCTCCAAGAACACAGATGCAAATGTACACAAAGCAGAGGCAGGCTTTGGAGACGTGACTGCAGTGAGTGACAAGTGAGAGGGTCAGAGGCCAAGAGCCCCTCCCACAGGTGGAGCGGCAGAGCAAGAAGGATGAATCTGGCTGGAGTTCAGAGAGGAGAAACGCCAGCTGGTCAAAGGGGAAGCACCCAGCATGTTAAGAGGCTCTTGGTTTGACCGAGAGTGGGGTTGTGTATGGAAGAGAAAGGGGTAGAAAATATGAAAAAGAAGTATCCGGCCAGGCATGGTGGCGCATGCTTGTAATCCCAGCAGGAGGATCGTTTGCAAGTTCGAGACCGGCCTGGGCTACAAAGTGAGCTCAAGGCCAGCCTGAACTGCATAGCAAGACCCTGTCTCAAAAAAAATAAATAAAATAAAATAAAAAAGAAATATCCATCTGGGCGGGCAGAGGACTGGAGAAGTCAGGCTGAGACGTGAGCAGGGGAGGTTTCCCTTTGGTCAGGGCACCCACGATTTCCAGATTACTCTTTAGGCTCCAGACATCTAAAAGGAAGCTTCTGCCAATTAGCTTTCCCATGGTTACGACTCAGATGCCTTTATACCAGCAGAAACATGGTTTGCCTTCTTTAAAAGACTGCAGCACAATTAGAGTAGCTCATGATCTCCGTGTAGCGAGGACAATTGGTTTACTTATCCTGTGTCACCAGCACCCCAGGCAGGTGCCCAACCTGGGCTTCTTCCTGGGAGGGAGGGGAAGGAAAACAGGTTCAAAGTAAAGTTCACGGCCAAGTGCTCTGTAACAATAAGCACAAGGCAATTACATTCTGCTGCAGTTATTAAATTTGAGGAAAACAAATATAATAAAACGTAGACATTTGTAGAGCGGTTAAGATAAAATGCAAGTGGAGAATAAAAACAAAATTTGATTACCACAGATTTCACGGTGCCTACCTTAAGAGACAGTGTTAAATAAGAGGGGTAACAATGCGGAGGAAGGTTGGTGCTGGCGGACTAGGGGCTGTGAGGAGACCAAGGGGCAAAGGAAATTCCACCTTCCCAAAGCGGCCACCACCTCCCTGCCCAGCCAGCCTGTCCCCACGCCTCATAAAAAAGTGGTGGTGGTGGGTGAGGGCTGGGGAATGTGATCAGGGATTTAAGTCTTAGCTTGGGCACAGAGATTCCTGGGCCAACAAAGAAACCACTTCCTGTCCAGCACACAGGCCACTGTAGGGGCAAAGCCCAACCCCAAGGGCTGCCCAACAGATGCCAGCTGTTGGAAGCAGTAACTTGCTTTTACTGCACGCAAATTCGTGAAGGAACGAGAAGCAGCCATTGGGAAGGTGCCACTGAGTGGACAAAGAGCAGGAAGGCCCTGTTGATCATGCACGGTGTCCTTTAAAAAGGAGAAAAAGTCGGGTATAGTGTCACACACCTGTGATCTCCAGGACTGGAGGCTGAGGCAGGAGGATCATTGTGAGTTCGAGGCCAGCCTGGGCTACATAGAGACGACCTGTCTCACAAAACCAATCAATCAATCAGTCAAAAAGAAAATGTAAGGAATCTCTAGCAAGAGGTGCTCAAGGTGCGTAATTTATTACATGAATTATCTGTGTAGATCCCCATACACAGGTCTAGTGAATTTCAAGTAAAACCTAGCAAAGCCAGACTGAAGCGTTGGAGGTGTTAGAGGGAGCAGGGAAGTGGTGTGCGGGGAAGCGGTATTTCGAAGAGTGCACGGATGGATGGGGTTGGGGAGAGGTGCAGGAGGAGGAGGCCGGGAAGGTTGGCAGCCCAGGCTGTCCCTTCCTTCGAAGAGCTGCACTACCAATTTATTTGTTTGTTTGGTTGGGTTTTTTGGTTTTGTTTATTGGTTTTTGTTTTTGTTTTTTTCCTGCACCGGGAATCGAACTTGTGACCTCACGCTTGCCAGGCAGGCGCTGTGCCGCGGAGCTAAATTCCCACCTCCTGCACTGCCAATTTAGGCCAGGAGGGGCAGAGCTGCTGAAATTGGAAGGGCGAACGAATGTAGGATTTTTGACCTTTGGCAGACACTGTAGCTAGTTTCCTCCTTTGGGCGGGTTTAACTGCCCGGAAACGGAAGATTCGTTCTTTTCCGTGGCGTTCGGTTTTCGCTGGTGGCTGTGTCTGGCGGTACGCGGGAAGAGCGCACAATCCGGGGCAATCCGCAGTCGGGTGCAGTTTGGGGACCTTGGGTTTGCATCGAGGGTGCAGAGGAGGAGGAGAGGGTGACGGGGCTGGCTTTTCGGGAGAGGAGGGAACGCGGGGGTCGCTGGCGGTGCGCCTTTAACACCGAGGATTGTTCTCCGCAGGTACCAGTCCGCGCGCTCTGAGCGCCTCGTCGCCATGGTGAGTAGCGCCCCTGCCTGGCACCTTCTGGGGGAGGGGGAGACGCGGGCCCGCAGTGCGAATGGAGGGCTTTTCCAAGGATCTGTAGGGGCCGGAGGGTTGATGGGTTTCGTGTCGCCAGAAAGCGTGAGTCTCTGGAGTTTATACTTTTTTTCTCGTTTTCCAGCCGCGAAAAATTGAGGAGATCAAGGACTTCCTGCTCACAGCCAGGCGGAAGGATGCCAAATGTAAGGGGTTGCTCTAAAGGCCTGAGATGAGCGCGCGGCGGGGGCCGGGGAAGATTATGTCTGTATCTATATCTGTGTATCTGTGTCTGATCGCGTTGGTGCGCAGAAGACACCCCCCTCCCCCCGTGCTGCTGCAGCGTCCGGGGCCCGGGGAGGGTGAGGCCGTGTGAGCACATGCCTGGCCGTCATTTCCCCAGGAAAATCCTGTCGGGCAAATGCGAAGGGATAGAAAGTGTTCCTGGGGGCAGCTCCTTCGTGTAATTTTGAGCGTCTGGTTTTGTGTATGCAGCGGGTTCTCTTGAGTGGAATTACGACCTCGTGAAAGTCATACACTCTGAGTTTGCTACTTCGTGTTCTGTTCCGGGCACTGGGGGAGCTCAGTACGGTGCTGACCGCGGTGAGCTTCTTTACTAAGTAGCTGGGCACCTGCTTGTATTAGTTTAATGGCTTGCAAGTGAAGGGGAAAGGAAATAATGAGTAAGAACTATAAAAGAGTAGATTTTCACTTGTATGGCAACTTCTGCTGCCCATGTTTTCTTCCTTTTTTTTTTTTTTTTTTTTTTACACCAAACGTGGGAAGAAGCTGGTTTTTTGTTAGTGTAAAAGGATGTGTGGGGATGTGGGCATCCCTTATCGCTTTAACCCAGAGTCGTCGTTTTTCTATCAGTTGAGATAAATTTTGGTTTCTTTTCTCTCGTATCATAGATTTATCTTACAAAGAACCAGTAGATTTATGGGAGTAGTAGGTTTGGACTGGAGTGTTAAGTACTGTCTCTAACCAAAGGACAGTAGGGAGGGAGAATCTTTTAAATGACCTGTAGGTTGGGGTCGGGGCATTATTTTGCCCCTAGTACCGAAAGTACTCCATTATCTTTGATCTGGTAAGGCTCCCTGCCCCATAGCTGTGGGCACAGCTGGTGGTGGAGGGCTTGTATTTTTTGTTTGTTTGTCTTTTTGAGACAGGATCTTGCTATGCTGTTCAGGCTGGCCTTGAGTTTACTTGGTAGCCCAGGCTGGCCTCAAACAAGCAACGAGATCCTCCTGCCTCAGCCTCTGGAGTGCTGGGATTACAGGCGTGCGCCACCACCCCCGGTTTGGAGTGCTTGTTTTACATACATGCAGTTAACAGTCCAGTTTTAGATCCAGCCATTGAGTTTGACACTGCTTGTTCAAATCCCAGCTCTGCCGGTACATGGCTATTCTCGGTAAGTTAGACTAGATAAATCCTTCCCTTCAGTATAAGGAGGTGGTGATAAGCCTGTATCTTGAGTTTCTGTCTCACAATTTTGGTGCAGAGGTCAAATCATGTGTTCCGTTAAGTCTCTTAAGAGGCTAAGAAATAATACAAAATCAGATTCATTTGGCCCACTGGAATTGGGTTTCAAATGATGTGGCTTATAAAGGTGGGAGTCATGGTATCCTGAGCATAAGACATTCAGGTGTTTGTTAAGCACACTTTTTTTTTTTTCCCAGTACTGGGAATCGAACTCACGACCTCATGCTTGCCAGGCAAGCACTGTGCTGCTGAGCTAAATCCCCAGCCCCTGTTAAGCACGCTTTCCTTACAGTATTTGGGAATGAGGTCTTGCTGTGTTACCTGGGCTAGCCTTTAACGCGATCCTACCCCATCTGTCTCCCAAGTAGTTGGGATTACAGGCATTCACCAATGCATTCTTCTTTTTAGTGGGAAAAAAACAAAACCTTGATAAAAGACATTCCTGGCCAGTTTTAAATGCACCTGTTGCTGGCTTTGGGACATTCACATCATCCATCTGGTGCCATCTGTCTCCAGAGCTCTTATAAAACTGAAACTCTGTCCATTAGACACGAAACTCCCCACCCTCTTGGCAACTACCTTTCTGTCTCCAGATTTGACTGTTCCTCATATAAGTGGAATCATTTGAGTTTTGACTGGCTGGCTTCACTTGGCATGGTGTCCTCAAGGTTCATCTGTGTTGTATTTGTCAGAGTTTACTTTCTTTCTAAGGCTGAGCATTCCACTGAGTGGGTAATGCCACCTTTTTTGTTCATCCTGTAATGATGGAGTGCTTCCACTTTGACTGTTACTGCTGCTGTGAACATGGGTGGGTGGTTTGTAGTGTTTGTTTTTTGTGGTGCTGTAAATTGAACCCAGGACTTCTCACGTGCTAGGCAAGTGCTCTACCACTGAACCCCATTCCCAGCCCACTGTGCACATATTTTTTCTGTTGTTCATTTCCATTCTTTTGGGTTTATACTCAGAAATGAAGCTGCTGCGTGCTATGATACAGTAATGGTGAATAAACATTCTTAAGAGACCTGTGTGTCTTGAGAAATGTTGTTCAGCTTAGTTTTCAAGAGTACAGCAGCTATTAGGGACAGTGCAGTATGTTAGTGTTAGGATCCTAAAGTCGCTTACCTTGCATGAATAGATGCAGGTGTCTGGGTGTATTAAAAATATGAGCTAGGGTAACCAGTGCCTTGGGCAGGCTGTGAGCCCTGCAGTGCTTCTGCTGTGAGGTATTCTGTCCTTTTTAGCAATTATTGGCAGACATGGAGTTGTGGGGTGTGCGTACACATTAATCTTTTGTTCTGTGCAATTAGGTGCTCTGAGCTTGTATGGCTGATGAGGTACTTGGGTTGAAGCACTAGACACTTCACTGTGTTTATAATAGTTGTTGGAAGAGTCTGAATTAGAAGGAGAGATTGGACTAGTTTAATATGTAACTGCTGGCTTGCTTCTAGGGAAGCCATTTCTACATTGTTGAATTTGAAGTGCACTTGGGCCTCTTGTCTGAGCTGTGATGCCAGGATAGACTTTAGAAGGACTAAAGAACCCAGAAAACAGGTTTCACTGAAATGTTAGGAGAGGCTGCATGCAGCATGTAATGGAGTGGGTAGGTGGATGTCCTGAAGGAGGAGCTCTGTAGTATTCCCCAGGTGTTGTGTGCTGTGCAGAGAATTGATTTCCAGGAGCAATGCTCTGGAGAGTTCTTAATCCCAGCAGATAGCCCAGGCTTCTTACTTTTTTTTTTAATCCTTTTTTTTTTCAAGGGGAGGGTACCAGGAATCAAACTCAGGACCTTACTCTTGCCAGGCAGGCACTTGTGCCACTGAGCTGTATCCCTGGCCCTCAGCCTTCTTACTTTATGATCATCTTCCTCCTGCCCCTTTAAAGAAGTAGTCATAATTAGGTCACTGCAGAATGTTGTACAGTGTTGCTTTCAACATAATAAATACCTGTGTTGTACGCGTAAACCAGTTAAAACTGAGTGCACCCCAGGCTCGTGAGTTGATGGAAGGAAATGCAGGTTTCTGGCACCAGTTTTAATTTTGAAGGAGACAGTACAGGGAGGTGGGAGTTTCACTTTTTTTGGTCAGTGGTTGTTGACTGGCCAGTTGCAGTCACTCACATGCCCTGGCATGGGTATAAAGCTTCTGAACTGTAGCATTTGCTTTCTGTGATAACAGTTGTTAATTCTGTTCTCCTCGGCAGCCGTCAAGATAAAGAAGAACAAAGATAATGTGAAGTTTAAAGTTCGATGCAGCCGATATCTCTATACCTTGGTCATCACAGACAAAGAAAAGGCGGAGAAGCTGAAGCAGTCCTTGCCCCCAGGTGAGTGAGCCCCGTACTGTGGCAACTTAATATTTTAATCAGAGCCTCTTGTGAGCTCTTCTTAGCTTAAAGTGACTTACTGTCGTTTCTCTTTCCCTCTAGGCTTGGCAGTAAAGGAGCTGAAATGAACCAGCCAGACTGATGGGAAGTATATTAAAAAGCTTCAAAAGTCTATAAAGTGTCCTCTGTCTTTAAATATGGGAAGAAAGTGCTACTTAGTAGTGGCGGTAGGGTGGGTTCTGGTTGCTACGTCTTGTATCATGAATATCGGGCTGGGATTTCAGCACGAATAAGGCTATTAAAAATAAACAGATGTGGGTAGATCACAATGAGAGTAAGCAGAAGAGCCAAATTTATGGACCAGTCTGCACTCCGAGACTTAAGGATAGTTTAGATAGCATGAGTTGCCTTCTAGTGAGGGAAGAATTGATTAATGTGCCTGGTAAGTAACTGCAGGGGATAAGCCTTTCCATCTTTGGGATGCAGTGGTGGTGGCATTGCAGCTCATCTATACTCCGTTGAAATACTCCTTTGATGCAGAAGTAGATGGCACTTTCCTGGCAAAGGGCTCCAAAGAGCCTTAGAGAACAGAAGCAGTGTGCTGGCCTAGCGTGGGGTTTGGGGACAGCCATTCAAAGGAAAAGGCAATATCCAAGGGGAGGGGAAGGTAGAGAGGGACCTTGGATGAAGACACCAAGACCATCCTCAAATCCAGCTGACATTTCAGCAGAGAACCCCGTTTCTCCAAAGACCTGAGCCAGGCCCTTAGTCTTGGACCTACAGGCAGCGGCAGTTCTGTGGTGGAAGTGGGGATGGTGGCTGTTCTAACGGGTCCATAGCCAAGTCTAGCATGGGTATGAAAAGACCAGCTGGGGGGCTGGGGATTTAGCTCCGTGGCACAGCACCTGCCTGGCAAGCGCAAGGTCATGAGTTCAATTTCCGGTACCAGGGGAAAAAAAAAAAGACTGGCCAGGCCTGACTACTTGGGTATTAAATCCTGATGCTGCTGCTTGATAATTCATGGTTTTGAGAAATTCATTTCTGCCTTTTCCGTTAATTTAGAAAATGGCCATATTAATGCCTCTGTCACTGGTTTACTGATTTAAATATGCTACTTGTAAGTTTTTGGGGTTTTTGGTGTTGGGTTTTTTTTTTTTGAGACTGGGCTTCGCTATGCAGTTCAGACTGGCCTTGAGCTCTCTTTGTAGCCCAGGCTGGTCTTGAACTCAAAATGATGTTGCCTCAGCCTCCTGAGTGCTAGGATTATAGACATGTACCACTGCACCAGCAAACTTCACTTAATACTGTACTAGCAAATAGTGGGCAGACGTGGCTAAGGGTTATGTTGGGGCTGGCCACCAGGTGGCACCATATTGCAGCAAATAAACAGTTGCCTGTAACTATTTAGAAAGGGCTTACATCAAAATCCATTTTGAGTGTAAGTACCAGGGTAGATTTATTTACATCTCTTTAAAAAAGACCACTTGATACTACATTAAGTGGCTAGCATGTTTTTCAAGGGTGCAAGCTAGTTTTCAAACATGACAAGTTGATTAAAATGTGTGGGCTTTGTTTACTCCAGGTAAAGGGTGACACGAGCAACTCATTGGCTGGTGGCGGATACAGATACGGCATCTTCAGTAGCTTTCAGGTCTTCCTCCTCTAAATATTTAGGATTTTCAAAGGAGAGTGCTTGCCCCTTTGGCTTACTTTGTCCCTGGCACGTTGTGCGGAGGTGGGCCTCAGCTCCTAGGCAATGAACTTCACAGGGCTTGTGGGGAGAAGGTCTCCTTTCACCCTGGCCTTTGCTCACTGACTCCTGAGATTCCAATTCAGTGGGAATGGTTCCACGCCCTCCCTCAGGTGTCCTGTGTCTTTGGCTCACCTCTAGGGCAGTGTCCCCCTGGGGAAGCAGCTAGAGAGCTGTCAGCTTTTGGTATTCCAAGCTGCACCTGGGTGGCTGTGTCCACAGCCCACAGGGAGAGCCCTTGGAGTTAACTGCTTCCAAGTGGTGCACAGGTCTGCACTAGCTCCCTCTGGCCCAGGCTCTGCTTTGTCTGGAGCTCCCCTGCAGCAGGTTCAAAGCCAGTCCAAAGGTGACTGCCGACTGCCCACAAGGCAGATGCCTCCCACTCAGGCTGTGGTGTCTGTTCCCTTCTCAGCTGAGGCACTACAGGTCAGTTGTGATTCTAATTATGGGAACAACAAATCCTTACAATTTAATTGGACATTGACATGTTGAGAGGCTTTGTGGGAAGGCCTGCCATTTCCCTGGAGAAGGCCAGCAGGAGGGTGAGGTGTTGGCACCAAGCAGCCTCTGCTTCCAGGTGGGCTGTCCCTGTGATCTGGCCCTTGCTTACCTTGCCAGCGTCTCCAGGTGAGTTTCACCCCTTTGGAGAAATTCTGACATAATCCTGACTCATTACCCACAGCCTCTGTCTTATAGTTAAGCCAGTGGGCACTTTGAACTGTTGAGTTCCCCTTCTTGCTGCCCAGAGCTGGCACCAGGACACCCGAAACCCCACCCCTACTAGCTCCCCATCATTCATCAACTCATCTGGTGTTTTTTGAGAAACATTCCTGGCCCTGGCTCAATGCTCTTAAAAGGTTTATAATTAAGCACTGTGCAGGCTGAAAAGCCGACCCCATGTCCGTCCCCTAAGTTCGGACACACTTGTGGGCAGGGGATATAGCTCATCAGCACAGCACTTGCCTGGCATGTGCGAGGTCCTGAGTTCTATTCCTGGTATCCAGAGACTTGCATGATTTATTAATTGCTATCCCCCAGAACAGAGAAAGTGCAGATTTGGTGAAAGAAGCCCCTATGAATGAGGGAGTCCTCAGGCTCCTGTGCCCCTCCAGCCCAGGGGAGGCCCCGAAAGGGCAGGGCAGGGCAGGGCCTGGCTCTTCCCGCCCAGCATCTCTGATGGAGCGGGTGGCGTCTGTTGTGCGCCGTCTTTAGCAGCCACACGTATTTGCGGGCGTTTTCGGGGTGACCAGTGGCCTAGCTGGAAGTCCAGGAGTCCTTCCTGCTCCTGCCAGATTTCCTTCCCCACCTGTGTCCTCTCACCTCTCTTCATCACTGCACCCCACTGGGTTGTCTGCCCAGCGCTGGTCTCCAACCAAGCCTGCCCTGTCGCGATGCCCCCAAGCCCCGCCCCGTCCTCGCCCCTGCTGGCCTTTACCTGCCCTCTACGTGCTTCCAGCCTCATACTGACACGGGATGGGGGTTCTCGGTGTGCAAATGTCAGAGGCCGAGGGGCTCTGCTGAGAGCGGTTGTGCCCAGCACCCGCCTCGGCTGCCCGGCTTTTCGCCCAGAGCACAGTCTAACCCAGCACGCGTGGCGCCTTCAAGCGCGTGGTGCCTTAAGCGTCAGCCAGTGTCCGCACCCACGGAAGTGCCGTGCGCAGGAGCAGAAGGCGTCCATCCGCTCTCGTCGGTCCCCCGTGCCCATCCTCCCCGGCGCTCCCCTGCCCCGCCCTGGGACAACACACAGGCTCTTCCCACAGGACGCCGGCCCTGTCCCTCCCGCCAGGAAGAAGCGAGCCGCGTCTCTTTGTCCCCAAAACTCCGGGCACGTGCAGGCGGCATCGTTAGCTGCTGGGGCAGCTGGGTTGGGAGCTGTCCTGTTTCTCTGAGTCCACACGGTTTACATAGTGGACGCTCAAATGAAGGACTGAGGCTAAATCTAGACGGAGTGATCGAGTCTACTCGCCCTCAACAGGCCTGGGAGCCGCCAGTCCCGCCTCTCGGCTTGATGGCTACCGGCTCTGGATGCTTCATACCCTTAATTTCCTGTCATTGGAAGAAGTCCGGGGCTTAGAGACAGAAATCGCTTCTTCCTCCCCTTTCTCCCTCCGGCCAGGACAGACCCAAACACACCAGAATGGAGCTGCCTGCCTTTGGGCTGGAGCGGAGTTGCCCAAGGCGTGTCGGGGCTTGGAGCGCATCCTGGGGGGGGGCGGTCCCGGGCTGCAGAGGGGCGTGTCCTTGGGTGTGGGGGCGTGTCCTGGGCCGCGGAGGGCGTGTCCTGCGCCGGCGCTAGTCTCCGGCTTGGTGGCGGCGGAGTCGGGCTGCGCTCGGGCTGAGCCATGTCGGCGGCGCGCGTGGACTACATCGCGCCCTGGTGGGTCGTGTGGTTGCACAGCGTCCCGCACTTCAGCCTGCGCCTGCAGCCGGTGGACAGCACCTTCAGCCCCGGCGACAAGAGTTATCAGGAGGTGAGCCGCGCGCCCGGACCCAGGCCACCGCGCCCCGCGCACACCTCTCAAACTCCCCGCCGCCCCTTCCTTCTCTCCTCTTTCCCCTTCTTCCCGCGACTCCTGGCCTCGCGGCCCCTCCTGGGGGCACCTCGGGGCTCGGGGACACAGGGAACCTCGGCGTGGCGCGGGCGCCGGGAAGGGAAGAAGGCGGGAGCGCCGGCCTGCGCCGGGGGGCGGCGGGGGGACGTTCGCGACCGGGAGCGCCGCAGGGGTTTCCAGGGGCGCCCAAAGTTTTCCTCCTTCCTAAAGTCCAACCCGGGACGCTCTCCTCCCGGGCGGAGTGGCCTGGCAGAAGTTTAGGCAGAAACGGCTTGAGTCTCCCGAGGCCGGCTCGGGCTCCAGGCGCCCCTCCTCCTGGCCCCTGCCTGCGGGGTGGGAGCCGCGGCCAAGACCTTGGCCTGCGCCCCTGCTGGAAGGCTACGGGGCTGGGCAGGCGGCGTGGGTGACTTCCCCGTGAGCGCAGGGGACCCACAGCCGCTGGAGTTTCTTTCTGGGAAGGAAGGTGGCCTCAGATCTGCCGCGTCTCATACCAAGTCCTGAGTCCGCACCCGCCCACCCCCGTGCTGACAACCACCCTCCTCTTTGTCCTCTGCTTGGGCCTGGGCTGCCCCATGCTTGGGCCCCTCCGCACCGGCTCCCATACTTCTAGGCCTGGAAATTCGGGGGTCTTGGTTTCTTGTCCACTCTCGGCTCAACCTGTCCCTGCTCTGCCGGCACTTCTCTCAAGGCGTCTGCATCCTGATCGCGCTACTAGACCGAGCTGCAGTCTGCCAGCGCATCGCGGTTGTGGCTGAGCCCACGCGGGCCCCGCTGAGGCCGTGCCTCCCTTGGATCAAAGAGTCAGAGGCTGGGCAACCCAGGATGGGGCCCGTTTTTTCAGAGATGTGTACCCAACTTGGGACTTTGGCCCGGGCAGCCTCTACCTGCAGCGTCAAAGCTCTGACCTCTTGATTTCCTGGTCTGGGGCAGTGGGGCCAAGCGGGGCCCCCTGGAGGTTGAGCCTGGGAGTCACCTGCTGGCCTCTTCCCTTTCCAGGCCTTCCTCCTTCAGGGCCCAGGGATCCCCGATCGAGTAAGTTGCACACTGCCCACGTTCCAGGCCCAGTGACCGGGAGTCTAATAATAACCCCTAGTGCCCTGGCTGCCCTCAGGCCCGGGCAGTTGGTGCTTGCTTTTCCCGGGGGAGGAATCGGACCTGTCCTGCTCACCTGCTCTTGGTGAGCTTACCGAAGGCAGCCCAGTGGGCTTGCCCAGCCCTTTTTCCTTCTCTGTTCACCCCTCCCTCTCCCCATCCCGCTGGAGGAAGGCAGTTCTCCCGGAGAATGGGCTGCCTGGGGCTAGCTCCACGGGATCTTCCGCTCCCAAAGAATGCTTAAAAAAAGGCGGATGTGACTTCAGAGACAGCTGTGTCTTGGGGTGGATGCCCCAGACCCTCTCCCTGGGCCTCAACCCCATTTTCCTCCTCTCTACTGGAGGAAACGTAAGCCCCCAGCTGGGTGCAGAAGACCCCTAGGTCTGGGAGGGATGGTAAGGGCACTCCATTTGCCCCTCTGGCCGGCAACACGGCACCTGTCCTGCCAGCAGCTGTGAGCCTGCCCCACCCACTCCCCGTCCCAGGGGCTGGTGGCAGCTGAGCCTGCAGGACCCACTCACAACTCTCTCCCCCAGAGTCCTGGCCTTGACACCCTCCGTGCTGGGCTCCAGAGGGTGTCCCCTTCCAAAGGCCCTGGTCCTAGCCTGCTCCCTTCCCCCCACTGGTCCTGCTGGGTGGAGGCAGAGCGCCGAATGAGAGGCAGGAGGGAAGTCTGGCTTTGGGTGTTATTTAAGGCCGCTCCTGTTTTAGTAAGTTATCCTGTTGTCTGACCACCGGTCTTCTTTCCTTCTGAAGCACAGTCCTGGCCAGAGTCAGGCAGCAGGTCAGTCCACAGCCTGGGTCGGGCACCTTCTGCTGTCGGTGCAGTACTTAGTCCCCAAACCTGACTGGGGCCAAGTACGGAGGCAGGCCTGGGTGACCATGACGCTTGAAGCTGCAGGCCTTGGAGCAGTTGCTGCAGGGAGTCTGGGAACGGCTTCACACTGCTCTGGCAGTAGCCAGGGAGTTGACATGGTGGCTCTGCCATCTCATAGCCAGGTTGGGTCCCAGTGCTATACCTGTGGGACCATGAGCAGATGTCTTAACCTCTCTGAAATTTGCTTCTTCCACTTGCAAGTATTAGATGAGATATTACACATAACATGCTTAATACAGAGGGTCCCACAGCACATAGTAGGACCTGGGGATAGAAGTCATGAGGTGATCAGCCTCGAGGTTACTTGACAAACACAATGCCCCGAAGGGGATGGGAGGGAAGAGCTACAGACCCTGAACGAGGAAGTCTGGGGAGAAAACTGCCGAAGGGGCTTCAGTTCATAGCTCAGAGGCCCAAACAAGCAGCTCAGGCTTGTACGTCAGTGTGGGCGCACACAGGTGTGTCGGAGACTAAGTGAGGGCGGGAACAGGCAGGGCCAGGTCTCAGGAAGGCCGGGGAACGGCTGGTTTATGCATGGGGTTCAGAAGGTGAAAGGGGGTCTTGGAAGAACAGAGGGTTCGATTCCTGGTACCAAAAAAAAAGAGAGAGGGGCTGAGAAGCAGGTCACGCAAGGTTTCTATCCCAGGACCTCCCTGAGGAAGTAGGGGCCCCCTCACTTTGGGGTCTTTGGGGACAGTGGAAGCCTCCTGTTCCTCCCATAGCCGATCCTCCTTCCCCTCCCCACAGTGAGCCTGAGCCTGAGTTCGCTGGAAGACTCCTTGGGCTGCGTGCATCCGAAGCTTTCTAGGGAGGTTGCCCTGGGGCCAGCTGGGGCCAGCTGAGGCCTGAGAGACCAACTGGAGCAAGCCAGGTGGGAGGGGAGAGGGAAGGGAACTCAAGCTAGGTTGTGTGTCAGGGGAAGGAAGCAGCCGGACCTTCAGCCTGAGGATTCCCACCTTTGACAGGCCAGGAGGACTGGACACGGAGATGATCCCCTGCTGGGAAAGGAGACCCCAGCTAGCCAGGTGTCCTTTGGGCAGTGTTGGAAAGAGCCCCTGGCAGCAAATCCAGCTGTGTCTCTCTGAACAGGCCAATTCAGTGTCCTGCTTCCTGGAGCATTGGTGTCATAGTTCAGCCCAGCCCCGGAGGGAAAGCAGACACTTGGGGAGCTCCAGAGGGGGTGGGGATGTGTGTGTGTGTGTGTGTGTGTGTGTGTGTGTGTGTGTGTGTTTCCCATTCCATCTCTCCTTGCCCTGAATCAGGAGTCTGCTCCTTCTCTGGGGCATGTGTTAGGAGACAGAAGATGTTTTAGTTTTTGTATTTAGACAAGCGTTCTCCTATGCCTTCTTGAGTACCTCGGTTCAGAGGTTCCCCTAAGAGACCAAGTGTGTGTCCCCAGGCTAGAGGAGGGGCAGGTCTGAGGAGCAAAGGCCAGACCGCTGGCCCCGCCCCGCTTGGACGGGAGCTGAGCTGTGGTTGGGATGAGGGAGCCCCATTCATCCTGCCTGGCATTGAGTCATTGTCACCCGACAGTCATGCTAAGCCCTGCAGGGGGTTAACCCTTCCCAGCTGGCCTAGAAGGGGTCTGGGTGCGCCCACACCCCACCCCTGGCCTCACCCCGAGGCTAGCCCAGAAGCGCAGTGCAAAAGCCCCCGAGAGACCAGTACAGTGGGCAGTGTCACCACCACCCCCGCACCCCAGGGTTGCCCCCCACACTGGGTTTCTCATCCCAGAAGGACAAACCAGAGATAATTAAAGTGGCACGGATGAGGGGAGAGGCAGTCTGGGCACTGGTGTGGGTTGGGGAGGTGCCGCGACCCCCGGGCACAGCGAGAGGCTGTGATGTGGGAGACTGTCCTTTCTAAGCTCTGTCTCTCAGGCACGCGGCCCTGCGAGCAGAGTTCGGCTTCCCCTGCGCCCTCCCCCTGTGTGCAAGGTTGCTGTGCGCTGGGGGAGCTGGGTGTTCTTTGGGAGCAGGGAAGTAGTTGCCCATCAGAGAGCCGCAGGTGACACCAAGTTGGCTGGCCGCTTGGACTCCCCTCCTCCCCTCTCCCTTTGTAGCATACAGCCTACAGTAGGCCTGGGAGTCGGGGTTTCCCAGCATCACCGTGCCTTCCCGCGCTGGGTGCGTTACCCGTGTCCTAACTGAGGCCAGCTGCCCAGCCTGGAGAGGCCGCAGCCCGCAGGTTCCCAGGCTGCTGGGGAGGACTTGGTTCACAGGAGGTCAGGAGGCAGGAGGAGGCTACTAGAGTCTGAAGTGGGGACCTCAGCCACAGGGACTCGGCAGGGGGTGGGCTCAGAGAAACTGACCCAGCCCCAACCCACATCTCTCCACCATGGCGGGGACCTTTCCTTTTGGGTGGGAACACAGGGTGGATTCGGTGGTGTTTCCTGTTTTGGGGCAGATCGGTGGGACCGCCCTGGGGACAAGTGAAGCGAGGATTGCTGGGGGAGGTGTAGGTGTTAGCCGGGCTGCATGAGAGGCCCACCTGGGGTTTCGCTACTTTTTAGAAAGTATTAGGAATAACTCACAAAATGTGCACAATCTTAGGTGTACATTCCAGTGAATTTGTAAGTGGTGTGTGAGGCACCATTTCATCAAAGTGTACACAAGGTAGCTACTAGTCACACTTCTACTGCTGTAGGAGAGCTTCTCTGACCTTAATTAAAGATACAGTCTGCTCATTTACCATCCTCATCACTCTGCTGGGGATTCATCTATCCTATTATGTGGACCGGTTTTCTTTTTCATGGCTGCATAGTATTCCATTTAATGGCTGTAAACATAGTGTGTATCTTGTCAGTGAACCTCTGGAGTATTTTGGTGGTTGGTAGTTGCTGCCATGGACTCACGTGTGTGGATCTTGTTGGAGACACAAACCCTCCTTTTTGTGGAGGTGTTGGGTCACGGTGTGCGTGTTGCCCAATGGTTTGCTGATTACTAAAGGGTCCCTGGATTTTAGTAGCGGGGTCTCAGGGCCTGTGGTGGGCAGGATAGCATGGCATTTCCATACACCCAGGTGCAGTATGTCTGGGCTTTGCTGAGCAAATCAGCTTGAAGAAAAAGTAACGCTGCTGGGGAAAGGCTGAGAACTTGTGTTGATGTGATCCTGGTGCTTTCCGAGCTTAGGATCCCGATCGCTTGATGTCGCTGGGTCAGCTGAAGTTCTGATGCTGGCGTTCAGACCAGGGCTTGAGACGCTGCATGGCTGGGAAGCCCCCGGGAGCTATCAGTGTCACAGTTAAAGGTCAGGTTGCAGGGTGGCGAGCTTCACTCTGAGTGAAGTGGCCCTGGGCCCCCGCCCACTCTGGCCTCCTTCGCCTTGGCCTGGGCCCCGGGGCCCTCTGGTGAGACTGGAGGTTGGCGAATGGGCAGGGACTTCCCACTGTCTCCTGGGATCCTGAGAGGGATTGGTCATGCCAGTGAGTGGTTCCGGAAGGCATAGTGCCAGTCCCGGCCCCCTCACAGCTTCTGCCGTCTGCCCGGCTGCCTGCACGAGGGCGGTGAGTTCCCAGAGGCACCTCTGACGTGTATGCCGCGGGCGGAAGTGAAAGCCACATCCTGTGTCATACCCGTGCGCCCCAGCTGGGCTGCCCTCTCTGGGCTGTCCTCACCACTTCCACCATCTGTCCCTAGGACTGAGGAGTTTATCATCCAGGTGACCATCAGAGCGGCCTCACTCAGGCCAGTGGCCTGCCTGAGTGCGCACAGGGCTGGACAGCTGAGCACGGCCTGGAAAGGGGCAGGTGGCTCCTGCAGGCGTCCCCACCACTGTGCTCTGTCCCCTGGAAAACGGCCCCAGGCTGTAGGCAGCAGCTGCTGGCCTCTGCTTCAAGTTGGCTCTATGTGTGCCCGGTACATGGCTTGTTCCCTGTCAGACCTTCTGGGCCTGCAGTCTCCCATGCCGCTGACCGCCACCAGCATCCTGGGCCCCTGACACAAGCTCTCCACACTGGGGTGTGGGACTGTGGACAGGGAGCCACTCAGGGGCCCACGGGAAGCAGGGTAGGCTGTCTGCTTGAGAGCCTGCTTTAGAGCCAGGTTCAGCCCTGGCTCACAGCCACCGGTCCCAGGGCCATCTGGTGTCCATCTGGCCGAATCAAGAGATTGGAGGGCATGGCCGGCAGGTGGGGGCAGGGTACCCAGGCCTCCTGGCAGATAGCTGCTGCCCTTGCAGGACCCTGAGGTGCTAGGTGGGTCCGAGAAGGCACCTCCTGGCTGCTTTGAGCTCTGGTTTGCTGCCCCCATTGGCTCCTAGGTCAGCTGTCCTTTGCAGGATGTGGAGGAAGGGGTGCCATGGGTTGCACATCGTGTCTTCCCCTACCTCCTTCCCAGCCCCCTCGCCTATCCCCCCGCCAAGAGGGTGCTGGCTTCTCATGACTCTGGATGGGCACCTAGTTTGGGCACATGAGACTCTGGCATAGAGTCTGGCAACGGTCCTGCCAACTGTCCCACTTGGTACCTGAGGCATCCTGCCCAAACTTTGGCTCCTCCCAGAGACCCCTGGTGCTCTGGTCCCTGGGGACACCTTGTCTGCCTCCCTTGGCAGCAAATGAGGTATGACTAAAAAATACAATGAATGTTTACATTTAAAAAATGTGTTACAGTGAAAGACACCCTGACATTGGTCCTCCTTCAAAATCCTCCCCTTCTCTCGGAACACACTTATCCCATCATTCTTGCACTTTTCTTTCTTCCTTTAGCTTACAGTTTGTGGAGGTTTCAGTCCCTAATCAGCTGGCTCCAAGGCAGGGCAGCATGGTGAGGGGCAACAGTTCAAGGAGGCAGAAGACAGCAAAAGCAACAAGAGCAGAAACGGGGGACTTGCCCCTTTCTGAAGCAGTTCTGGAAGCCCTCTTTCTTGAGTGTCTTCAGTTGCACTGCCCTGGCTGCCTTGATGTCCTGAGTCGATTCAAAACATTTACCTTTCGTGGTTGTGTTGATTCTGGGGAAGAGACAGAATTTTCGCAACGCTAGGTCCGGGGAATAGGACTGCACACCGCAATGTCTGTGTACGCCTCCCTTTTCATTGGATGGTGCATGGCAATAGCAATCACCATATTTTTGATCACACCTGATAGAGGCACTTACCCAAAGAGGACTTCCAGAGCTGCTTCAGAAAGTGCCAAGAACAATAGAATGAGTATTCTGAGAGGGCTTCGTGGCAGTGTGTCTTTGACTGTAATAATTGTTTTTAAATTTAATCCTTCTCTGCGTATTTTGCTCACCCCTTGGAGCTGTCACTGGCCGCCCTCTGCGGGGACAGTTCCTGCTGGGTGGCTCAGAGCTTTGCCACAGGCGGGGCCTGCTCCGTATCTTCATCCGGGTGTGGGAGCCAGGAATCTGGGCCGGCCTTTCTCGCTCTCCTCCCTGCTGTGTGAGCCCTCCCGTTCCTTACCAATCACCACCCACCCTCCACCCCATGATGTTCCCAGGACTGGAGCTCTAATCAGAGAGGAGGGGCCGGGCAGACGGCAGACTGGAGCGTGGGGTAGGTGGCAGACACTGAGCTCCTCCCTGCCAAGCCCAGGCCAGGTACTCCCAGACTCCCCACTGCTGGGGCGAGAGCTCACCCCAGCCTCTGTCTTGCAGTCCTTGCTGCTCCTGGGGCTGCTGGCTGCCGTCTGCCTGGGCCTGAACCTCGCCTTCCTCGCCACGTACCTGGTATGCGCCTGCTGCTGTCGGCGGGACCACGCTGTGCAGACCAAGCAGCGCAGTTCCTGCTGCATCACCTGGACGGCAGTGGCGGCCGGGCTCATCTGCTGGTGAGTGTCCCTCCGCACTGCTGGAGACAGCCTTGGCAGACCCAGGAGCAGGAGAGTCACCTGCCGGGGCCTGAGCTATCTGTGTCTTGCCCATGGTTAGCTGTTTCTGCACCCTCAGCCAGACCCAGCTGCTTCTCAGCTGCATGGCTAAATTCTTCCAACCAAGGTCCTGCCACCTAGGTGAACAAGCTTGTCTGCAAGATGATCTTCTTCTACCCAAGCATTGGTATTCAGATGCCTGCGGTGGGGGTGGGGGTCTCCCTAGTGGCCCAGGCCTCTGCGCTATGCAGGCCAGTGGCTGGCCGCCGTGCAGGTTTCTCCTGGAGTTGCCCGAGCAGCATTTCTAAACAGTGCACCTCCCTGCCCACTGTATCCCTGTCCCCTCCCACCCGCCAGTCACCCTGGGCCAGCAAGGGCAGAAGAGAGTCTGGTGTGTACCCAAGTCAGTTCCATCTTCTTGCGAGATCAATAGCTTTTAGTGCCATTAGGCGGCTGCCCTTCTCTGCTTTGGATGAGGAAGTGAAGATTTCTAGCACGATGTCAGAGCCGTGCTACCTGGCCTGCTCCACCAGAAGTGTCCACACCTGCATCATTGCTATATGTTTCTTGTTTTTATATCTACAGAGGCTCTTCCCAAAGCCTAAGGTGGGGCTGAGAGTATAGTTCAGTGGTCGAATGTTTGCCTAGCATATGCAAGGCCCTGGGTTCAAACCCAACACTGAACAATGCAGAGTCTGGGGGAATGGGCATGGTGGCACACGCCTGTCATCCCAGCATTTGGGAGGCTGAGGCAGGAGGATGGCTGCAAGTTTGAGGCCAGCCTGGGCTACATAGTGAGTTCATGGCCAGCCTGTACTGTGTAGTGAAACTCTGTCTCAAAAAAGAAAGAAAGAAATGCAAAGCCTCAGGTTCCCCCTGAGATGCTCCTGGGATGCAACCCCACTTGGGGGTGAGGGTCCCTCAATAATTAGCCTTAGGTCTGGAACCTAGGAATAAGGACTGTACATTCCAGTCTACAGGTGGCTACAAGCTCATCTCTTCTCCCTTAGAACATGTCCAGGATCACATCTGCCCACAGTGTGGGGCTCGCTGAAGCCAGAAGAGAGGCAAGCCCTGGGGCGCTGCGCTCATGGCAGGGGCTGGGGCTGGGCAGACCACATCTGGGGCTGAACACACTCCTAAGAGGTCTAGGCCAGGTTCGGAGCATGAAGACCAGTATTTGGGAGCATTAAAAATGACTTGGGAAGGCCGGGGATATAGCTCAGTGGCACAAGCGCCTGCCTGGCAAGTGTAAGGTCCTAAGTTCGGTTCCCGGTACCACCAAAAAAAAAGAAAAAAGGATCTAAAAATGAGTTGGGGAGCCAGGAGTGGTGGCGCACACTTGTAAACTCAGCACTTGGGAGGCTGAAGCAGGAGGATCGCCTTGAGTTTGAGGCCAGCCTGAGCTACATAGTGAGACTCTGTCTAAAAAAACCAAAATGAAGTGGCGGGGGGTGTGGGAAGGGATGTCAGTTCCAGTAAGTAATAATTACCTGTAGTCTGTACAAACTCAAGCAGGAGGAGTCTGTGTGGCTGGGTTTGTTCCACAGCATCCTAGACACTTGTCCCAGGCAAGATGGAGCCAGAAGTAAGACAAACAGGTGCCAGTTCTGTCCTCTTGGTCTTGTAGTTCTAAGTCTCTTGGGAGAGAAAGGGAATAAGGACCAACAAGGACATTGTAGAGGAAGGAAACAGACATAAAGTTGTCTATCTGATTGGGTATCCTGGGTGACAAGGATCTCCAGATCCATAGGATGAATAGGCACTAACTAGGCAGAGGTGGAGGCAGAATAGGAGGAAATACTTCTAGGCAGAGGCAAAAGGAACAAGTGCAAAGGCCCTGTGGCAGGAGGGAGTATGGAGCTGAAAGAAGCCAGTGTGGCTAGAGCAGAAAGCAGGTGAGACGACTAATGGATGACAGTCAAGAAGCAGCCATGCAAGGCAGACATCGTAGTGTGCTAATGTGAGAAGACGCACAGGAGCAGATGGGACCCAAGTTGTCCAGGAGCTTCTAGGCTATGTTAGGGATGTGGGTCTGGGAGAGCAATGGGGATGGCAAGGAGATAGGGTAAGCAGAAGATCAGTCAGGCTTAATCAGAAGCCGGAGCGGTGGAGTCTTTAGAGCAGTGGGACTTGAACGTGAAGGGGTCATCAGTGGGGCAGTGGAAGAGCTCGGACCAAAGAGGCACAGGGAGACTCGGGTCAGCAATAGCAGGGGCCACTATGGACCACAGGCCAGAGGGGCAGAAAGGAGAAGCTGTGCACATTAGTCAGTTTGCCTTGCTAGGACAGAATACTTACCGTCATAGCCTAAAGGCAGAAAGGTTTATTTGGCTTACGGTTTCAAGCGATTCAGTTCATGGTCAGCCAGCTCCAAGGCAGCAACAGCACAGTGGAAGGGCCTGGTGGAGGAACGCTGCCCAGTTCATGCTATCTGGGAAACAGCATGGAAAGACCACCGAGAGATGAAGGGACTGGGGACAGTATAGACGTGCCAGATTACATTCCCAGTGACCTACTTCTTCCCACCAGTCCCTAGCTGCCCACACCATGTTCAGCTCTGAGCTCCTCAGTGGAAGAACTCACTGATGAGGTTGGCACCCCTCAAAGAGCTCCAGCTCTGCATGTGTGAACCTTGTGGGGGAATTGATGGTGTACGAGATTGAACCCGGGGCCTTTGCACAGACTTACATCCCTAGCCCTTTTTTAACTTTTTATTTTGAGACAAGGTTTTGCTAAATTGCCAAAGCTGAGCTTGAACTTGTGATCCGCCTGCCTCATCCCCCCCCCAAAATAAGGGATTAGAGGTGTGCATTTGGGGGACACTCTTGATTGAAACCATAACACCACATCACTAGAGAAGTTGGAACCATATTGGGCTGAAGCCACGCAGCAAGCTCAGTAGCTTCTGTAAGGAGGGACACATGCCAGGCTCACATTCACCACAGGCTCCTGCTAGGGCCTCCATCAGCCAAACCCATTAGGATTTTGAGGAACTCAGTGCAAGGGGTCAGCACCCTATGATAGAGGACAGAGCAGGGGACCAGGAGGGACAGACTGGAGGGCAAACAGACCTGGGAGCAGTCCACTGATGTGATTGTCAGAGTGACCTCAGGGCAGCGGGTGGCTTAGAAGGGGCAAGTGTGACGTGCAGACTGTTGGTTGCCAGGTGGAGGGCGACAGGCCACACTAGGCCCAGGTAGAGGATAAGAGGACAGGGACATGGATGATAAGCTGAGTGAGGAAATAAGGGACAAGAAGCTGCCAGGGGAGTGTCCCCCGGTTCTGGCTGATAGGCTTGGCTGGCCACCCTGAGAGGGACCCGGAAGAGAGGGTTTGGGGTTACACAGACCGAGGTGAAGGTGCCTTTGAAACATCCAAGTGGAGACCTTGAGGACACCTTGGAGACGCCATGTTTGAGTGGTAAATCGGAGGGCGTGGGGCAGACAGTGTGGCCGCCATGCACACGGGTTGGGGCTGCTACAGGAAGAGCGAAGTGAGGGACCAGAAGGGCCAGGACCGAAGTGAGGGACCAGAAGGGCCAGGACCAAGTGTGGAGCCAGCAGAGGAGACGGGAGAGTGAGGCACGGGGCAGCGTGTTTCAGGAGGGGAGGACAAGGGGGCTGGGGTTGAAAATGCCCTCCGTTCAGAGGCACACAGGTCCTTGGTCACCTTAGCTGGCATGAGTTTTGGGAGAGGCAACCAAAGAGAGGCAGGTGTCAAGGAAGCAGGAGTAGAAGGGATGGGAGATAAGGTTGGGGGAGCTGGGATGGGAGAAGCGTGTTGAACTCCGCTACTGAGGATGCGGGAGAAGAGGGAGATCAAATCTGTAGAGATAAGGTGAGCATGGGGCTTCTGCATAGGTAGGCCTGAGAGGGGAGGTGCGTGTGCCCCTTCTTCTGTGGGGCAGTGGTCTCTTCTTTGGGGAAGAGCATGATATTGGCCTGGAGGTGGGAACAGAGCCACGAAATCACCTCACAAGTGTGGGTCTTTCACTTGGCGCAGACAGGACTGGTGACACCTAGGGGGATAGAATGACCCTCCAAGGCTGGTTCTGGCCCTGGAAGGCCAAGTGCACATTTCAGCCCCTTCTAGACTGTCTGTGATAAACCCACGAATCAGCCAACGGGCAACAAATTAGAATGGCTGCATTCTCAAAAGCAAGGAAGTTACGAGGACGGAAAAGAAGGACATTAGAAGGTTGGCTCAATGTGAAATCCTCAGAAAACACCTTATCTTGATTTAGTTAGCTAGAGGAGGAAAGTAAAGACAAAAGGTTTATTTTCCCCACAGAAATCCTTTGAGGGCCGGGTAGAGTGCTTGTTTAGCATGTGCGAGCCCCTAGGTTTGAACTCCAGCACTGCAAACGAGAAATCATTTTGCCTTGCTTTCTTTTAAATAAAAGTTACCAGCTGGAGGCTGATGGAAATGCCAGGAAATACCATGCATCTAATGTGTGAACATTGCAGCTGGAGCACTACACAAACTTCCTCGACACCGTGGAGAGAGACGGGCAGCACAGTGGCACAGCTAAATTGGTGTACAACTGGCTGATTGCAGAGAATACTGATTGATACAGTGGATCACAGGCTGGAGAGAGAGACAGAGACAGAGACAGACCAGGAAGCTTGTTTTTAAATATGCAGTTTCCAGACCTCACAAAGCAGGGTGCGCACTGCTTGTCTATCTATACTCTATCAGATATCCCAGGTGATCTGGTCTTGTAACTCAGGGACTACATCCTGAAAAACACTGCATTAGGGACCCAGGGTATCCTGCAAGATTGCTACAAGTCTTCCAGGACATTCCTTCTTGGGTCCTGCCCTGTTTAAAGAAAAAAGAGCTAAGTATAATCCTGAGTACATTTATCTTTCCCTTTCTTTTGGATGAAGACCCTGGAGGCTGCTTCATCATTCTTCTGGGATCCTAAGTAGTGTGGATCAGATAGAATATGATCGATGATAGAGTCAAGATCTGAAGTGATTTGTTCAGGCTGGAATGTTGGACTAGCACCAACAATACGAAATTTCACAGATAGGTTTCAAGTTCTGTGTTGGGTTAAAACTAACAAAAATCAATATAGAATTATAAGAAGGAGGAGAGGTAGGGCTTGTCTGCATTCCTGTGAAGAAAGTCAGAGGCTGTATGTAGATTACAAGGTTGGTGAGGGCTGGCGTGGGGACACAGGTCAGGGCAGTAGTGGGTAGGGAACATCCTAGAGCAAGTCCCCCATATCCTACTTTTTATTTGGTCTTTTTGAGACAGGGTCTCACTATACAATTCAGGCTGACCTTGAGCTCACTTTGTAGCCTCGAACTCTCAAGGATCCTCCTGCCTCAGCCTCCCGAGTGCTGGAATTACAATTGTGCACCACCATGCCCGACTCCTTATTCTTTTGACCTCAGGTCCTGGTGGAAAGTCTGGATTTGACTGTTTGCTCTGAGCTGGAGTTTGGGGTGACATTGAGCTGGGTGTAGCGCTACATGTCTGTAATCCCACCCTCTGGGAGGTTGAGATGAGGATCGAAAGTTTGAGCCTAGGCTGGGCACCTCGGTGACTTTATGAGACCTTGTTTAAAGGGCTGAGGATGTAGCTCAGTGCAGAAGCCCTGTGTGCAATACTCAGTGCCTCCAAAAAATAGGAAATTAAATAAATTTTAAAAGAACTATAGAATAATTGACCAAGTAGACAGCTGCCTCCGGAGGACAGTGGTGTCATAGGCCCACAGACCCCAGCCTCAGGAAGGACAAGTGTCTGACCCAGAGAGCAGGTGAGAGGGTTATAAGGGGACTGCACTGAGATGTACGGTGCAGGGTGGCACTGAATTAGAGGTTTATCCAGAGGACAAGCCAGGACCTGGGGGTGCGTGGGTTACAGGTTTCAGCTCAGTGTAAGGAGGCCCCTTCCGTGTGCTGGAGCTTTGTCATAGAGGACCAGCTGCCTCAGTGCTGCACGGGGAGGTAGGACAGCCTGGAGAATGACAAGGGAGACCTCCCCACTGTGTGTGGTCTCACCCAGCTTCCGGGGTCCCAAGCCTACTGGTGAGGAGTTCCTCGGGGAGCTGTGACAGTATGGGCAGCCTCCAGAACCTGCCCTCTAGCAGAAGCCCCAGGACTGTCCCTGCACCCACTGCCTTTTCAACTACAGGAAATGACAGCCAGCCTGGCAGGAACAAGCTGGCTTCTACTGTGTGACTTTGGGTGACCCTTAACCTCTATCTCTAGACTCATCTCCTCCTCAACCCTCAGAAGAGAGTTCCTCAGCCAAAGTCAAAAGCCTGCACTCCAAGGGTGTTTATAGCAGCTTTATTCACAGCTGTCAAAAGCTGCGTGGTGGAATATTATTCAGCCCTAAAAACAAAAATAGGCTGTTGAGTCAGGAAAGACATGAAATATGCTTCAGTTCATATTTTTGTGTTTTTTGACACAGGGTCTCATTCTATAATTTAGGTCAGCTTTGAATTTACTGTGTAGCTCAGACTGGCCTTTAACTCCTGATCCCCCAGCCTCAGGCCTCCCGAATTTGGGGATTGTAGGTATGCACCACCACACCCACTTCAGTGCCTGTTACTGAGTGAAAGAAGCCAATTTGAAGAGGCCACACACTGCAGGATTCCAACTGCACCACATTCGGGAAAAAGCCAAACTATGGAGACAGTAAAAAGATCAGGGATTGGAGGAGGGATGAATATGCAAAGTACAGGGGTTTCTTAGGGCAGTGAAAGCACTCTGTATGATTGCATAATGGTGACTACACACCGTACTATTGGTCTGAGCCCATAGAAGATACAACACCAGGAATGAACCTACAGCAAACCGTGCAGTCTGGGTGGTAACAGTATGTCCATCCGGGTCCTTCTGGTGCAGGAGGTTCCGTACACAGAGAGGAGAGGTATAGGGAACTCTGCACTTAGTGCTCAGTTTTGCTGTGAGCTAGGAACTGTTCTAAACACAGCTGAAGATGTCACTGCTAACGTTGGTTTGGGTTGTTGCTTTCAGTGCTGCGGTGGGTGTTGGCTTCTATGGAAACAGCGAGGCCAATGATGGTATGTACCAGCTGGTCTACTCCCTGGACGACGCGAACCACACCTTCTCCGGGGTGGATGAACTGGTAAGGCTCGTGACAGCTGGCTGGGCATGGACATAGCCCATGAGGTCAGTGTGGCCAGACAAGGGTGCCCCTGGTCCCGGGAGCCCAGCTGCACACTGACTGCAGGCCTGTGTGATCGATGCTGCCGTCCTGGTCTCCCTTCTGGGTTGCAGGGGTCCCTGCATAGGGCAGTTCCTACTTCCCAGGCCAGGAGGGGTTTGGGGGCAGCTGTGGGATCAAATCTCACAGGAAAGAGAGCAGAACACTCTCCCATTTGCTGAAGTCTCCTCAAACGGAGAAACTCAGCCTGCTCCATGCATGCTAGGCAAGTGCACTAACACTGAGCTACACCCCTAGCCCTTTTTGCTCTTTCATTGAGATCGGGTCTTGCTAAATTTCTCCCAAGCTGGCCTCAAACTTGGAATCCTCCTGCCTCAGCTTCCTACGTAGCTGGGATTACAGGTGTGCACCACTGTGCCTGGACTGCTACATCTTTAAGTTCACTTTAACTGCTGCACAGGAAGTCCTAGGGTCAGGGAGAAAATTTCTCTTTAGAAAAGAGGAACAAGCCCTATGGAATGGGGAGAGTCAGTTAAAACCCAGCACATGCCCCCTGGGCCCTGGCTTCCGGGCTGTCGGTTAGTCGTGACTCTGGTCGGGGGTCATGGTGCAAGACTGTTGGAGTGGGGCTTTTAGGAGGAGAGAGCCACGCTGTTGAGCCCCAGGCACAGGTGAGGGACACTTAGGACAGGAATTGGGGTTTCCTCTAATTTTACCCGTGGCCCCGGGTGCCTGTCACTTTTGCAATAAGAGCCAGGCCTTTTCTGTCATTTTCTGTGACAGCCCTGGGCGCTCCCTAAGCACTGGGCTCTGGTGGGAAAGGCAGAGGGAGCTTTGGATACTGGTCCATGGGCGTTGCCCTATCCCTGACCTTTTCTGCCACAAAACCCAGCCCCAACTACAGAACTTGCTCCCTGCCCCAGCAGGAAAGAGCACTCCTTTGCCCTTCCCACCGGCTCCCTTAAGCTCCTCTGAGGCGCTGATCCCTCACTCTGCTCCCCAGGGGGGCGCGTCTTAAAGAGACAGCTTGCGCTCATCATGCCCGTGACAGTGGGGGAGGCAGCCTCTCAGGGGCTAAGGGCCTCAGTCTCCCGAAGAATTTATAATCTTTCCATTGGGTCCACTGGGACTCGTTTTGAATGGAAGCCCCAGGTGTCTGGACTGTGCTGGGAGGGTGAGCTGCTGTAGGGGAGGAGCCTGGGAACACAACCTGATCCCCTGCCGGGAGTCATGGGCACGCCCTGGCCCCTGGAATTCAGCCTCTGACTCCCCTCCTATGTCTGTGGCCCTGGTGGGAGGGGTCCGTGGTCACAGCCCTCCAGCCTCTCTCTTTCGTGGCACTGCTGCTTTCCCCTCTTCCCGTCTACCATCAGCACCAGTCTCTGGAGAGGAACCGAGCTGGAGGGAAGAATCTCCCGCCTAAGCAAGCCCCAGGCCGTGACCTTCACTGGCTGTACCACTCTGATGAGAAACCTTGAGTGCTTATCCTTATCTCAGGGGAGGAGAGTACAGCTGGGAACAAACCCCAGGGTGTCCCAGGGCCAGGTTTGGACACTCTAATCCCCCATGTCCCCAAAGGACCGCTCCCCAGGTTCTGTGTCCCCGGAGGTCAGCCCCACGCGGTCCCCACTGCTACTGAGCAGTGAGAGTCGTCCCCGGGCTCCAGGGTCATCCAGCCAGCTGGGAGCTGCTTCTGTGGAGCAGCTTCCACCCCCAGCCGCAAGGCAGAAGGCCTCTCCAAGGGTGGGGAGGGTGATTTGGGACCCAGGGGAGGCAGCAGACCTTAGATGATGCCCAGCCACAAGGAGTGAGGTCCAAATACCAGATAAACGGTGTTAGGTGAGTTAATATTAGTGAAAGTGCCAGGTAAACTACAAAGTACACTCCAGCTGGGGTGACTAAGGTAATGAGCTCATTATAATAATTACTATAATCACAGTGCAGTGGAGGTTGGGGTAGGGGAGGCTGTGGTAGCATGGTCTGCAGGGAATTTGTGGCAGGTCAGACGGCTGCAACACTTGGGGCTGGGCTTGCTGGAGCCAGATCAAGCAAACAAGCGGCCCCCAGCACAGCTGGCTGGCCCTCCTCTGCAGTCCCAGCTGAATCAGACCCAGCAGTATACGATGGCAGCACAGGGCTGGGGCAGCCTGACGGGTCTGGATCAGCTGCAGGCTCCGATGGTGGGGGGTGTCATTTATATCACTGGCTGGGTTCCTTCTGTGGATCCAGTGTCCAGCATCCAGCCACCCAGTAGAGGGGACTGGATCCCAGCTCCTTGCCCAGGACACCAAGCAGCTGCCCTCTCCGCAGGGGTTAGTAAGCTCTTAAGACAGGCCATTAGGCTCTGCAGCCCCGTAAGCTCTGCTGACTTGCATTTGAGCCTGCAGCAAGCTTGTGGGCAACCCCTAGTTGGAGAAACTGAGGCATGGGGAGGTTTTTATTGTCTCTCCAAGGTTCTCGGCCCTGTGCTCTTTCCTGCCTTCTATCGGATCTGAGACACGCGCATGCACATGCACACAACCTGCTCCCTACCCAGCTCCTAGGCAACCTCCAAAGCCCACGTGCTGCCTCCTTCCCAGAGGTTCTCAGGAGAATCACCTGGGGGGCTTGTAAAGTGGGGCTCAGGCCCTACGCCCTGAGTTTCCCATTCTGTAAATCTGAAAGTTGGCCTCTGCAGTGACTCCCTGGTAGTGCTGGTGGCCCAGGGACTCCACCTTGAGGAGCACTGCTGCGTCTTTTAATCAACAGTTCAGAGGGCTGGGACAGGGCTGTACAGTCCCTGTGATTCTTAGAGCTTATCTTCCCCATGGAGTGCCAGGCTCGGTCTCTGGGGCTTGGCACTCTGTCTTCCTGGCGGGGCAATGAGCCCTGAACCTTTGAGGCCCTGAGGGGAGTGTGGGCAAAAGCAAAGTTGTATGTAGGTCAGTGTCATGATTTTAACTTTTAAAATTTTTTATTTTGTTTCCTGTGGGAAGATACCAAGAGAAAAGACAGGCTTGACGGATGTTTGTTGCGCTGTGCCTGTTTTATTTTCAATGCAGGGGTTTTAAGAAAGCATAGTTAGAGCTGGGGATATAACTCGCTGATAGAGTTTGCCTAGCAAGCAAAAGGCCCTGGGTTCCATCCCCGGCAGCACAGAAAAAAAGTTTATAGTCCTAGAAGGAGGAGAAAATGGTATTAGGGCAAAAGTTTGCAGATAATTTTTTATCGGCCCTTTGTTCTATATTGTTGATGTAATAAAGAATGTAAACATAGTACTGGACTTGCTCCTAATGTCACCGTTTAATAATTGTGCCATTTGTTCCAAGGGTATAAAACCCTTGTGCATTTGTCTTATTAAACTGAACAGCAAGGCTTATTAGGGCGATGCTTCGTTACTGAATGAACTTTGACATAGTTTGGAGTTTTTCTACTGTGTGTCAAGCTGCAAGCTGCCCAATCAAGAACGCCCCGAGCGTCTTTCTCTGTTGGTGTCTCTTAGCCCTGTACCAGCTCTAAGAAGCAGGCACAAGGCAGAAAACAACAAGCCGCTGACACTGATAAAATAAAACAAAATAGAACAAAAGGAGCCATTCTGCCTCTGGAACCAGGAAGTCACAGTATAGGGCAGATGTGAAAAGCCACAACAAGGTTGATGCTAAGTCCCCTTCGTGCAGCGAGCCAGAGTTGGCCACGGGGAGTTCTGTGCAGCTGGCCCTCTTGCTATGCCCTCCTCTGTGTCGTTTTTATCTTCCAAGCCTCAGAGCTGCAGGCTGCCGGGCGAGGATTAGCACACACTGTCCCCCTTCCAGCCGGCTGTGCTCCTGGGTTTAGCGTGACAATTTCAGAACAACAAAGTCCTTCTTCCCCCAGCTGCCAACACGCAAGCTCAGCAGCGGTGAGCTTGGGCTGCTGGACGGCATCCTAGTAGCCTGGGGCTGGTGGGCCGGCCGGGCCCCTGGGCCTGGCTGTTTGAAAACACCTTTGCCGTACAAGGCCCACCCGCACCCCCTGTTTGGCAGCTATGCAGGACAGTCGCTGCCATTGTCCTTCCATTTCTACCTTGCACAGACAAATGCTTCCACTCAGCTGCAAGCCCCTAACATCCAGTCAAGGGACAAGAGCCTGGCCACACTCCTGGTAGGACAAATGTCCAGGGGAGGACCTGAGTCCCCACAGATTTCCTCCTCCTGACTCCCACAGAGGCAAGATCTGATCTCTTTGTTTTGCAAAGTCCTTTTGTTCTAGCTTCCCTGGGAGTCAGGACTCAGCCTTGCTAGCTCCACAACCAAATGCTTCTTTTGCAGGGATGTGAGAGTAAAGGTCAAGGTCACCACATAGGTGTTCTTCACTTTCAGTATTTTGTTTCCCCGTTCAAGTGTTTCAAGTTTGAAGTCTTCAGGGAAGGGGCTGGGGATTTAGCTCAGCGGCAAAGCACCTGCCTGGCAAGCGCAAGGTCGTGAGTTCAGTTCCCGGTACCGGAGAAAAACAAAAAAAAAACAAACAAAAAAAAGAGGTGAAGTCTTCAGGGAAGAAACATGGGCTGTTTTGTTTGGGTCTTTAAACCGACTGCGTATCCGTTTATCTGAAATGCCTGGCACCAGAATTTTTGGGATTTGAGGGTGTTTCAGGTTTTAGGATACTGCATAGACTTTCCCGCTGGAGATTTAAGAAATTTCAGATTTTGCATTTTCAGATTAGAGATGTTCAACCTATACAGTAAGGCCTTAGATCTGAAGAACCCCTGGCCTTTAAGGCCAGGCAGGGACTGCAGACCAGGGACTGCTGCCTGGTTTGAAGGACATGTGGCCTGGGTGGTGGGTACGTTAACTTTCTGTCATTGTAATAAATACTATCCATAATGAACTTAGAAAGAGAAGGTGCTTGTGTTCGTTCAGTTTGGGAGATTGCAGCCTGGGGCTGGTTGGCCCCATCCCTCTGGGGCCTATGGCCTAGCAGAGCAGAGCTGCTGACCTCCTGAGTAGGAAACTACCAAGAGAAAGTGGGAGAGACTGGATCCACCAGTCTCTCTCAGACACACCCCAGTGACCTGACGGCCTCCCCTGGGCTCCACTTCTTAGAGTTTCCACCACCTCCCCTACTGGACCTTGCCAGCCTGGGGACCAGACCTTCACACATGGGTCTTTGGAAGACGTGCCAGGTCCAAAGTGTAACAGTAGCTGGCAGGACCTGTCTTCGGTCCATCTTGCGGTCGCTCATGAGCTCTCTTCAGGGCTGGGTTGTCCTGGTGAGTCCTTCCAAGCCCAAACAGCTTGCAGAGACCTCCAAAGTGAGAAACCCGAACCCCGCCTGCCTGGCTTTCTCCTGCCCAAGGCCTAGAGTCTCTGCCTGTGCCTCTCCTAGGTGTTCGAGAATACCCAGAGGATGAAGGTGGACCTGGAGCAGCACCTGGCCCGGCTCAGCGAGATCTTTGCTGCCCGGGGTGACTACATCCAGGTCCTGAAGTTCATACAGCAGATGGCTGGCAGCGTCGTTGCCCAGCTGTCCAGGCTGCCCGTGTGGAGGGAGGTCACCGTGCAGCTGACTGAGCTGTCTGACCAGACCTCCTACGTGGAGTACTACAGGTGAGGGGGCAGCGAGGCTGCATCAGGGCCAGCGATGTCTCCAGCCTCCCCTGTGTGGCATCTGAGCAGCAAGTGGCTGAGGGGTGCCGCCCCACCTTTACCACCTTGGACCTGCAAACTTATTCCTCTAGCCTTTGGGAGTCCTCTTACATCTCCCCTGCCTGCCCGTCTCCTAAGCTCTATCTCCAGTAAGGGCGCTGGGCCCAGGGAAGAGCCCAGCCTGGCTGCCGACCCTCTGCAGCAGGGTCTAGGGAAGGTTGCTCCAAGGAGCACCGGGAACAGAGGCAGCAGACCTGCCCTTAGGCCAACTCCCAGCCAAATGACAGCAGGCACTCATGAAGTGTGTGTCATCGTGCTTCCAGAGCTGGACACTCAGCACAGAGGAGGCCCAAGGGTCCAGATCTGTGAGTCAGAGAATAGCATCAGCTCTTTGAATGTGTCGGCTCCTCTTCAAGCCACTGATGAAAGTCAGAGCCTTTACCCCCAGCACTGTACAATATTCTCTGCTTTTCTGTATTTGTTTCCGTTTTGTCATCAGGCCGCACCTCAAGAGGTCACTGCAAAGAAACTGCCAACTCTAAGGACTGTCTGTGACCTCTTCTGGCCCCAGAGTGGTATCTGATGAATCCTGCGACCCGTGTGCTATTCATTCCTTGAGCTCTTGAAATCTCTTATCAGGGGCAGGGCTATGTGTCCAGAGTAGGGGTCCGTGTGACCTTTCTCTTCTCTGAATGTATCTAGCATAGGGCCCGCATGGACATTTTGTTTGATAAAGACAGAGATGAAATAGAAAGTGTGATCAAGATATGATGAATGTTTACATTCAAAAATATTTATTACAAGAAAAGACATTGCCCTTAATCCCTCTCAAAGTACTCTCCGTCGCTACAAACACACTTATCCCATCATCCCTGGCACTTTCTGAAGCAGTTCTGGAAGTACTCTTTCGTGAGTCTTTAGAAAGTGTGATAAAAAATATGGTGATCACAGCAGCTGAGTGCCATACAACAAAACGGCGAGCTGTGAAAGCATGGCAGTGTGTCTTCATCCGCTTTATTCACTGGACCTGGCTCTTCCCCAAAGTCAAAATGACCACAAAAGGTAAACATTTTGAATTGATCCAGAACTTTGAGGCAGCCACAATAGTAGAACTAAAGATACTCACAAACCAAGGACTTCCAGAACTTGTGGCTTGAACTCTTGGCTTCAAAAAGTGCCACGAGCCAGGCATGGTGGGGGACACCTGTAATCACAACACTCAGGAGGCTGAGGCAGGAGGATCACCACAAGTTCGAGGCCAGTCTGCACTTCTTAGTGAGACCCAGTCTAAAAAAAAAAAGAAAAGCAAGAACTATGAGTTGAGTGTGTTTGAAGTGGGGAGGGAGTATTTTGAGGGAATTTAATGGTAATGTGTCTTAAACACTTACCATACTTTTCAGTCATACCTCATAAGTCAGAATTGTATGTCAGGCCAGGGATATAGCTCGGCAGCACAGGCACCTGCCTGGCAAGTGCAAGGTCCTGAGTTCAATTCCTGGTACCAAAAAAAAAAAAAGAATTGTATGTCACAAGGGGATTATTGTTAAGGTGACTTTATTAAAAAGTTGGGGGAGGCTGTTGACAGAGACAAGCAGCTATCCCAATGGGTGATCAAAAGTGCTTCCTCTAACCCTGGTCCCCAAATACACACCCTTTATTCAGAATAGGAGAAAAGGTCTAGCCCAAGGCGGACCTCTGCAGCTTCTGAAAATTGATAGTGTCCGTAGCTTCCCATTTCTGCATCTGTTGTGGCCCCTTCTCTTGCCTGAACTGCTGTAGATCACAAGCTTGTTCTTGGAGCTCAGTGGTGCAACACCGCCTCCTCCAGAGATCCTGCCCAGCGTTGCTCTCCAGCGGTTCTTATTTGTGGCTGTCCAGTGGGGCCAGCGCTCCTGACCCCTTTCCACAGGCCTGTGATGCTTCAAGGAGCTAGCAGGCCGAGAGGCTTTCGGACGAGGCATGGTCTGATGGGCTCTGCAGAGGCCGGATGTGGGGAGCTGTGGGAACCGGGGTGGGAACGGCTCCACAGGCGAGAGCCAAGCTCTTGGTTAGAAATCCTTCCCCCAGTCCTCACTGCTCCTTTGGGAGAACATGCCTGCAGCAGGAGCTGTTTCTAGGAACTGCTTACGCATGAGGCGTGCATGCGAGGGAACACGGAGCCCCAGCTGCAGAAGGCAGATTAGGAGCCCCCAGTGGGGTTCCTGCTGGTGGAAGAGGAGGAGAACAGAGAGCAGCACATCTTTGGTTTGGGGACATGGAGCCGGTATCTCTGAGACACATTCCCTGTGTCCTTTGTAGGCGGGAAAGTGTGCCATTCCTGTGAAGTGTCTGGGATTCCTAGACCAGGCTCCCTGTACTTCGGGCCTTGACTTTCCAATCTGTAGAATGGATTCCCAGGTTCCTTAGAGCTCTGCGTCTAAGAAGCCTGGCTTGTTGGTGGCCTCCAGCTCTGTGCTTGCCTGACAGCCCTCACTCTATTTCTAGGAAACCCAGAGACCCCTGCTGTGTTCAAGACTGAGGATTTTTATTAGGCCTTTTGATTTTGGCTTTAAGCCCTGACCCCCAAGGATAGAAAGAATGTCATTTAGCTTTCAGGGACCTCCAGCTTCCTCCCTTCCCCAAAGAGCCTCTTTGTCACTTTCTGCCAGCTCCACCGGCCCCTACCCTCACTCCCAAAGCTTTCTTGCTCCCTTTGTGGTGCTGGTGAAGGGGAAATCATTGCTGGAGGGGAGGGGCCGATGAATTTATTTGGCTCTTGCATGAAGAGAAATAATGATCAAAAGACTTCGCCCTGCCGGCACTGAGAAAAGTCCTCTGTCTGCCCCACCCCCAGCCAATCCCCAGATGGTTCCCGTTGCAGGGCCAATGGGCTGAGGCCGGTGCTGCATTGTGAAGACCAGCTTGGGTCCTAAAGGGCCCCTCAGCCTGCGGCCTGGGCTCCGCCTGGCTCTGAGCTGCTTGCATAATGCAGGGTTGGTGAGTCTGGGCGGCAGGTTCAGAGCTCTGCCCTGCTGATGCTGACTGTCCTCTCTTCCACCTAGGTGGCTCTCCTACCTCCTGCTCTTCATCCTGGACCTGGTCATCTGCCTCGTCACCTGCCTGGCACTGGCCAAACGCTCCAGGTGCCTCCTTGCCTCGTGAGTCACCCTTCCCGTGGGCTAGGGACAAAGAACTAATAGGAGAGAGGCCCCGAGGTGGAGCAGTGCAACAGCTGGGCTAGGGTTCCCCATGGGGCCCCTCCCGAGCTGGTCTAATTCTGGGCCAGCTAAGGGAACACGGGCCCAGGCCAAGCGCATCCAGCCATCAGGCCTGTGCCTCCTTCGCTGCGTGAGCTCACAGCTGAGTCTCGAGCCCAGGACCTCCGCCTTAGGCGTGGGGTCTGGTAGCCCTCTCCCAGCCATTAGCAGGCTGATGGCAGAGTAGGGGAGCGGATGGGAGAAGGGTACTAGGAGCGGGCAAGGTGACCACCAGCACTGGGGCCCCTTGCCCACCCACTTGCGGGTCCCATAGCATCTGCCTTCTTCTAGGATGCTGTGCTGTGGGGTGATAACGCTGCTCCTCAGCTGGGCCTCCCTGGCCGCCGACACCACTGCAGCCGTAGTGAGTAGGGGCCCTGGGGTGGGGGGCTGTCCGGTGACCTGTCCTGTCCTGACCCCTTGGGAAGGGCCAGCTGCTGGCTACCATCCCTCTTCTAGCATCCCAGAATCCTGGAACCTAAGGGTTCAGATCACCTTGGCCAGCCCCTCATCCTCCAGATGGTAAAAGAGACCTTGAGAAAGGACAGGGCTTGCCAAGGTCATAGGGTATTTAGGGGCGAAGCCAAGCTGTAACATCACTGCATGTGAGGCATGTGTGGCCGGCAGATGACACAATGAACTAACAGGGTAGGGTCTGCAGCAGGCTTCAAAAGCTCACTCCTCTGTGGCCTCCCCACTTACACATACTCTAAAACACACGTCTCCACATGGGGCCTCAAAGTGTCACTGAAAATAGGGGCTTCCTGTGTAGGAGTGTTTGGTCTTTAACAGACCGGACCCTGGAGCTCGGCTGTGTAGGAGTCTCTGCCCGTCCATTCATCGGGAGGTTTTTGCCCCTCAACAGGACCAGGTGCCTCGGGGTGCAGCAACCAGAAGGCTGACGTTTGCTGTTGACAGTCACAGCCTGTGGAAGAAATACTTGTAGGCAGGTCACTGTGACACAGTGTGACTCACTGCGGTGAAAGTACGTGCTGATATGTGTGTGTGTGTGTGTGCGCACGCGTGTATGCATGTACATGTGGAGGATGTGAGCATGTGCTAGAAGGGGTGCATTTTACCAGGGAATTTCAAGAAACCTCTCCCTGATTCAAAAACCACAAACCAGCGCCATGGTCTGCATCCATTCTGCCGGAGCTACTGAGGGGTAACAAATGGAGGTGTCCTGCAGGGAGCATCACTGGCTAGCTCACGTCCTTGCTTTTGTGATAATGGAAATTAAAACTGAAGCGACAGTATGAATTTTCAAGCAAGAGCTTTAATTGGAAGAAGGTAAGAGAGGATAAAGAGAGACCTGCAGCTTGGGTAGTAGCTACAGGGGGCACTTGTGTAGAGGTTTGGACCGGCCCTCCCACAAAAGCAGGAGGCCGGCTTCTAAGGCTCAGCCAGTGGGTTAGGGTCCAATGTATCATTATCTCATTATCTGGTAGTACCTCTGGAAGAATCCTTGGAGCTTGAGATGCTATTCTGTTCCCATGAGATGACTGCCGCTGCTTGGAGCAGTCTCAGTCGTGTGAGGCTCTGCTGGTATCCAAAGTCACCATAGTTCGGGGCCGTGGAGATCCTGGGAGTAACCGAATGTCTCTGTAAATCTCTCATCCTGCTTTCCTCAGTCTTGAAGGATAATGAGTAATCTAGGTAAATTTCATACTAATAAGCCTCGTTCTGCCAGCTTTTAGACAGACTAAGTGACTCCCTAAATGACTAACACACTTCTCTACGGAGCTGAGAAGACTTTGATCCAGTTTCACAAAATAAAGGTCAGGCTTTGTTCTGCTTTTAGGTACCTTTTGGGCATTTGTAAACAGTCAGTGTTGTTTTCAGCCAAAACCACTTTTAAGTCGCCTACTGTCTCAGAAGAGAGCACAGAGCATGCTTGTGATGAGTTACAGGTGAAGGGCTCAGGAGTAGTTTGTCCCCAAAGTGGTTTCTGACTGTCAGAAGCCCTCCACCCAAACTCAGGCTTGGGCCAGTGCCTGGGTCGGCCCCGCAGCTCTGGCCTTGGCCACTTTGGCTCTATGGTGCCCACAGAATGAATGGTACCACTTGGTTCTGGAGCCTTTGTTCAGAAGAGAGGAGGTGGGCATCTCTCCTCCCCCTGCTCTGTACCGTGGCCCCACACTGACTAGTGCCAGAGGACAGGGTACAAGCATGCAGGCCACGCTCAAAGTCCTAGTGGCCTCTGGGACTGGAGGGCTAGCCACAGTGCAGGGAGGGAGCCCGTAGGCTAGGGTGATGTGCACAGCTGCCTGGCCAGTGGCCTCTCCTCCCAGCACAAGTACCAGCACTGACAAGCATCCTGCAGCTTTCCTGGGGCCCAGTCCTGTTTCCCGGGCAATGTCTGCCTTCTGGACACACAGTAACTTCCAGCTTGCCACCATGAGCTGCCCCTCGGGAGTGGTTTTCTCCCAGCGGGGGCTTTTCCTCTCACCAGGCTTCTCCTTGGGAAGAGCACAGGCGATTGATTTCAGCTCGCAGTGCCCTGGAATGCCGGCGAGCTGGGAGCAGTGCCATTTCCCTAATTCCCTTTAGTCAGGCCCTGTGTGGGGAGGAGGTTGTGAGGCCAGGCTGAAAGGGCCTTTGATAGGGCGAGGGATGCCGTGCATTTTAATAGGAAGAGGGGTGAGGAGGAGCCAAAGGGGGAGGGGAGGCTGACTGTCAACAGATCACTGTGTACGGCTTCTGTGTGGCCTCTGCTGCCACCCTGCTCTCTGCAGCCTCTCCCCAAATAGCTCCCGAAGGAGCATCGCAGGCAGAGCTTCGCCCCTGAGAATCCATTCCAGGTGGCACTGAGCGGAAGGTAGCCGGGCACTGGGGAGCTGAGGGAGCTCAGAGCCTCCAGGCCTGTGATCTGACCACAGGTGCCCTGGCACCTGCGGGGTCAGCAGTGTGAACCACAGGAGAGCTCAGGACATGTGGGCGGAGGAGAGGAAACACCAGGAAGGAAGGGCCCAGCGTAGATTCAGCGAGAGGAGTCGTCCCCAGGGCAGCCTGACACCTCCTGCGCTGCTGCGCCTCCCAGTCGGCACCACGCCTCCCTATCCCGTGTCCTGGCAGTGGAACCTTAGGAAAGTTCTCCAGGCCTCAGTTTCCTGCAGTTTAAAACAGGAGAGTGAGAGCGCCTGCCTGGAAGGGTTGTGGGGAGGGAAAGGTGAGTCGGTGAGCCTGTGGGAGGCGCTCACCTGTCCCAGGGTAACTGGGGGTGTGAAATGCAGCCTGGCCTAAGAGGGGAAGGAGGGAAGGAGGGAAGGAGACCGCACCCTCAGTGGAGCCTCGGACAGGGACCTCCTCTGTGTTTCCTCGGATCCCAGGCTTCTTAGGATGACCCAGACCAAGAGAGTGGTCTTGCTCTTTATTCTTCCAGAAGCTTCCTCATCCCCGCTCCAGCCGCTCCACCTCAAGCTATCTGGTACCCCACCAGGCGTGCTGGCTTTGCAGCTCTGGGTGGTAACAATAAGCTGGGCTGCTCCATTCTGTGTGTTAGTGGCCTATATGTGTATAAAGTAATCCTCCCAGGGTCCTGGGTATCTGGTAGTGATTGTGTGTGTGTGTGTGTGTGTGTGTGTGTGTGTGTGTGTGTGCGCGCGCGCGCGCAGAGCTCTGGGGAAACACTGTATCTAGTGGGGCCCGTTGTTCCCCAGTACCCCTGTATACATTTTCTAGCCGTGACATCGACCCTGTACCCATGCTAGAACCAGGCCTGGTACCTAGTAAGCCTTATTTCTGTCTATCCACTCAATGAATGAGTGGTGCTGTGGTGTGAACCCCCAAAGCAGTGGCCCCTAAAGAAGGAAAGCGCCTCTGGAGAGGCCCCCTGCCCAGGGAGCATGAGCTATTGGGGATAGTGGCTCAGCAGAATGGGCTGTAGGACCAGAGCTTCCTGAGGCTGCTCTGAAAGGTAGCCCCAGTACCTTTCTGGGTCCCTTTTCCCAATACCCCCCTACACACCAGGCCAGATCGGGGTGAGAGGGGTAGGCTCAGGGGATGATATCCTTGCTGCCACCTCTCCCAAGGCCCGTCTCTGCTCCCACTGAGCCACATGGGGCTTGGGGGACACCTAGCCAAGCCATGCTATGAGCCTAGACCTGCCAGCTCCTCCTGCCCCCCACCCCATCTCAGCAGATGAAGACCTGCCCGCTAAAGGCTCCTAGATGGATTCAGCTCTAATCTCACTCTCTAGTAGATGAGTTACAAGGAATTTTAATATTTTGACTACCAGAGCATGCCGAGTTTAAAAACAGCAAGCAAAATATGGTAGAGATGAGCAAACAAGGCCAAGGGGCAGAAAATTCCCCCATGCCCCTGCAACTGCCCCGGGACCTAGATTCACTGGCCCCCTGACACCTGTCCCAGAAGAGGCATTCAGGAATCTGAGCAGTAGTCAACACATCCCTGCCAATCACTTTCCAGAACATTTGTGTATGTTCATCTGTGAGGCAAATGGTGTTATTGTCTCCACACGTCAGATGACACAACTGAGGCAACAGAAAGAAGAAATAATTGCTTCATGGTAACAGCTAGAAAAGGACAGAGCCAGGATTCGAACCCAGGAGGATGCTCCTGACCTTTTCTAGCAGGAATGAGTGGAAGGCGCTGAGAGCTAAGGCAGTGGGCCCCTGGCTCCTGCCAGGACCCAGGTCTGACCTTCCTCCACTCCTCCCGTCTCTCCCTGACTCAGGGCACCAGTGACTTCTGCACGGCCCCTGACATCTTCATCCTGAACAATACACAGGGCCAGATCAGCACAGGTAATGCACTCGGGCCTCTGCCCTTGGAGCTGCCCTGGACGCTCAGGGTAGGCCCTTGTAGGCAGGGAGATGGGAAGGGACACCTGGCTTGACCCCTGAGGGTGGCAAAGGATCTGGTCCCTCATGAGCCACCTGATGCCCATTTTTTACCTTGCAGAGGTGACCCGCTACTACCTGTATTGCAGCCAGAGCATGAGCAGTCCCTTCCAGCAGGTACAGCGCCCAGCCATACCCCATCCCTGGTCCCACCACCAGCCAGGAAGGTAGCTAGTGCCTCGGCTTCACTGTGGCCCTTGTTCAGCTCCTCTGATGGGGCCTCTGCTCTCGGTCAGCATGTTCCCGAGCCGTGCCTCACACAGACACACATGTACAGCTCCCTGGGGACCTCATTACCATGCAGATGCTGTGCAAGATGTAGAAGCAGGGCTCAAGAGTCTGCATTTCTCACATGTGACTGGTGTGAGGAACACATCTGAGAAGCAGGAGGACCGTGTAGCTCTCAGGAAGCCAGAGGGATGGGGGAGTATTTCCTGCCGACAGGCAGGAGCATACTCATAGCCATAGTGGATAGGTTGACCAGAGCAGTGGGATCTGGACAGTTGGGACTGCCTCCCCCATACGGGTCAGGCTGCCCGGCATTCGGGAACAACTAACCTGATCCAGCCCCTCCCAGCAGGTGCAGCCCACCCAGACCCTCTTGTGCATTTGTAACCAGTGAGCAGTGGGGGGTGAGGGGGGCTGCCGGGGCACAAGCCCCTCGGTAGCTTTGCAGGCTTCTGGGAAACAAAGCCCCAGGGTTCTGTGTTCTGTCATCCCAGGTGCTGACCATCTTCCAGCGCTCGATGACCTCCATGCAGATCCAGGTCACGGGGCTGCTGCAGGTCGCTGTGCCCCTCTTCCCCACGGCAGAGGTAAGGCAGCTGCCTCCTGCAGCGCCTGCGCTGGGAGAGGAGAGCCCTGGGTGAGCCTTGGCACCCTTTCCCCATCTCCTCTGCCCCTAGCCCCAGGCCCGCCTGCAGAGAGCTGGGTGCTGGCCTGCACCCCTCCCCTGGCGCCTCAGCCCCTTGCTTTGGCTCTGAAAGCCTCTTTGCACACCCGGTCTGTGGTTTGATCTGTGAGCCCTCCCCTGACTGCTCACGCTCTGCCTCTGCCCTCCTTCCTGCTGCAGAAAGATCTCCTCGAAATCCAGTTCCTGCTGAACTCCTCGGAGACCAGCCTCCACCAACTGACAGCCATGCTGGATTGTCGAGGGCTGCACAAGGTATGGGACACCGCAGAAGGCCACACAGAAAGAGAAGTTATGAGAGAGACCGAGGAGAGGGGTGGCCTGGGCTCCCTGTGGGTGGTAGAAAGCGGGAGGAGGAAGTGCTGGCTTCTTGCTTCCCTCCAGTGGCGAAGACAGGGAGGCCCAGTGAAAGGAACGGGGGCAGGAGTAGGAGGCTGGATCAGGTTAGCTCTTGAACATGGGAGGACCCTGACTTGTCAGAGGAAAGCAGGTCCCCATTGTCCACACTCGTGGCCATCTGGTCCTCCCATCCATCCCCGCGGGCTGCAGACGGTGTCCCAATCCCATTGCCAGGGTCATCTGTCTCCCCCGGAGCGTGGGATATCAGACAGACACAGGAATGTGGTAACACATTACTGCGGGGAGTATGTGAGCACCCCCACCCGCTAGCGGAGAGCCAGTGTGTGTCTCGTCCTCCACATCTGGTACGGATTTAGAGCCAGTAGTCATGATACTGATCAGAGAGCCGTTTCCTAAGGATGCAGCTCTGTGCCCAGGCCTCACTGCACTTTATATCCAGTGTGTCGCTCGTGCCCCCAGTGACAGTGTGAAGTAGTTATTTCATGGGAACCTTTTTTTTTTCTTTTCTTTTTTGTCTTTTTGAGACAGGGTCTCGCTATGCAGTTCAGGCTGGCCTCAAGCTCACTTTGTAGCCCAGGCTGGTCTCGAACTTGCAACTGTCCTCCTGCTCAGCCTCCTGAGTGCTGGGATTACAGGCGTGCGCCACCACGCCTGGCTTCGTGGGAAATCTTATGTCAGGAAACTAAGAGTGTATGTGGATAGATAAATAGATATACATGTAAACATATATGTGTGAACATGTCCATAAAGTGCCTTACTGAAGCTTTCAGAGCCGGCAAGGTAGGGACACGGGTTTTGACCCTGACACTCTGATTTCAGAAGTAAGAGTGTGAATCACCCTGTACCCTCTCGCCCGCTCCCACACCCAGTCCCTCAGCAAGTCCTGGCAACTGTGCTCTCCAGTGAATCCTGAATCCACGCATGTGTCTGCTCCACCCACTCCTGTGACTTCCACCCAATGACTATCCTGCTCCCCTGGGTGACAGCCCTGGCCTCCAACCTCTTCCCCTGGGAAACAGGAGCCTCTCCACTTCCTCTTGCCCCTTCCTCCCAAGGCCTTTCACACACAGCAGCCAGAGTGGTTATTTTTAAAAATGAATCATCACTGGGCATGGCAATACCTGCCAGAATCCCAATGCTCAGGAAGCTGAGGCAGAACAATTACCACAGAGTTCAAAGTCAGCCTGTGCTACATAGCGGGACCCTATCTGCGACAGAAAAAATAAATCAGGTCACAGCCTTCTAGGGCCGGGGATAGAGCTCAGCGGCACAAGCGCCTGCCTGGCACACCCTTCTATCCCCAAAGACTTTTTCCTTTTTGTCTTTTTGAGACAGGGTCTCACTATGCAATTCAGGCTGGCCTTGAACTCACTTTGTAGCCCAGGCTGGTCTCAAACTTGCAATGATCCTCCTGCCTCAGCCTCCTGAGTGCTGGGATTACAGGCATGAGCCACTATGCCTAGCTCTATCCCCAAACACTTTGCTTTGCTGTCTTCCTCTCATTTATAGAAAACCTAGATTCCTCTCCTGCTGGCCTCTCTATTTCCCTCTCTCTCTCCCTCTCCCTCTCTCTCTCCCTCTCTCTCTCCCTCTCTCTCTCTTTCTCTCTCTCTCTCTAAATGGAGTCTCACTGCTTTTTGTGGTCTCTAAATCAACTCCTGGCCTCCAGCAATCTTCCCCTTCAGCTTCCCAAGTAGCTGGGACTAGAGGCTTATGATGCCATGTCCAGCTCTTTTCTCTTTTTTTTTTTTTTTGTTTTTGGTTTTTCTCCAGTACCGGGAACTGAACTCACGACCTTGCGCTTGCCAGGCAGGTGCTTTTCCGTGAGCTAAATCCCCAGCCCTCTTTTCTCTTTTTAAAACAGACCAAGCTCATCCCCTTTGCCTCATCTCCCCCAAGCACGCCCCTCCCTGCCATCCTGGCCTTAGTTTATGCCCCCTGCCCTGGCTGCCGCCTCCTGCAGCCTCATCTGTGTGGCTCAGAGGCAGCCCTCCAGTACTGGCACACAGTGGGTGTGAAGCCAGGGGCTGTGTTGTGTCGTGCTCTTGAGTGAAGAGTTAGTGGCTGTAGAAGGTGCTTGGGGTGGGGAGCAGCCAGGAGATCCCAGGTCTAGGCCAGTGGGGAGGGGGTTTCCCAAAAGACCTCAGGCTGTACCCCAAACTCCTCAACGGTGTGTCCCTGCTCCTCCCCAGGACTACCTGGACGCCCTCACTGGCGTCTGCTATGACGGCATCGAGGGCTTGCTCTTCCTCGGCCTCTTCTCCCTCCTGGCTGCCATGGCGTTTTCCACGCTGATCTGTGCGGGGCCACGGGCCTGGAAGCACTTCACCAGCAGGTGGGCTTCGGGGAAGGGGCGGCTCTGATCGCCTGGGAGTGGGAGGGCAGCATCGGCCCCCGAAGGCTGCCTGGGTGTCTACAGAAGCGTTCCCGAGAGTCCCCACAAAGGGGCTTAGGGGCACAGGGACCGAGGATGGTGCCCGCCCTGCGCCTCCGCCTGGGCTTCCTTGCTGCTCCTCTCCCTTGGCAGGACTTTGTAAGATGGGATCGCAGGGGAAGTTTTAGGTGCTAGGAAGGTGCCTCAGGGAATTGCAAGAAGGATAAGTTGGGTCCCAGTGAGGAGGGAGCCAGTAGTCTCCAAGGACAGTGGCAGGGACCAGGCATCAGCACCTGAGTGGGCAAGAGGGAGGGGCAGGAGGCCCCGGGGCAGAGTCAGCTGGTGGGCTGCCTGGAAGAGGAAGGTGTGGAGGGGCTGGGGATTTAGCTTAATGGCACAGCGCCTGCCTGGCAAGTGCAAGGTCTTGAGTTCGATTCCTGGTACCGGAAAAAAAACAAAAAAAAAAAAAGACGAGGGTGTGGAGTTAGAGTGGGACAGAGTAACCTTGTGATCAAGGATCACACTTTCGAAGAATCTCCAGAAGACGCATCTGGCCATCAAGAGCACCCTGGGAAGACAGACTAGGAAGAAGAACAGGACCCAGCGGCTCAAGCCTCCCTGGCCAAATGTTATGTGTGTCATTCCAGGGATAGAGACTATGATGACATCGATGACGACGACCCCTTCAACCCCCAAGCTCGGCGCATCGCAACGCACAACCCCCCGAGGGGGCAGCTACACAGCTTCTGCAGCTACAGCAGTGGCTTGGGCAGCCAGAGCAGCCTGCAGCCCCCCACCCAGACCATCTCCAATGCCCCTGTCTCCGAGTACATGTATGGCCAGGCCCCCCACGTCCAACCCGGGGCAGCACAGCCTTTCCCAGCCCTAGAGAGGAGCTGGGTGTGCTGGTTTGATCCACAGAGCCACATGTGGGAGGGAAGGCATTGAAGCCCAGCCCCGGCCCCCCGACTCATCGCCTGTCCACGCCCACGTGTGCTGGGGGAGAGCCCACCACAGATGTCTGGTGTGGTGTTCTGCCGCGAACCCTGTGCGGGCCTGCGCCAGCTGCGCCTCTCCGTGCCTTGTTGCTCCCCTGCTGCATGTCTCCTGGCCCTGCTAGTGTACTTCGTCCTTTATTTTCCCACCTACGCTCCTCCCATGTCCACGCTCCCCATATGCTTAGCCGTGGGACCCTCCTGGACACACCTGCACACACTGCACCCCACGTCCCTGGACCCTCCTGAGCGCTCCTCTCGGCCCACAGGAACCAGGCCGTGCTCTTCGGTGGGAACCCTCGCTATGAGAATGTGCCGCTCATCGGGAGAGGCTCCCCTCCGCCCACGGTAAGCAGCCTTTCTTCCGCTGCAGCGCCAGCACTCTGGCCCTGGTTGAGGAGATAATCAAAGATAATCCCCCTGCCAGCCCAGAGAATGCTGTCCACAAAGGCAGGAGGGAACGAGACAGCTTTGTTGTTGAATAAGCGTTGGACCAGACCACCCTTTGCATCACGGTCAGTCTGCTGAAGAGATTGCCAAGGCAGAAAGAGATGTGACCCTTTTATGTGGCCCATTGTACTGCCGTCCTCAGGACGAATGGCACCTGTCCTCAAGCAAGTGTGACAGCACCCTTCGTCACACCAGCCATCCTGAATCCCCTGGTAATTGGGGTGGCCATCTTTGTCAGCTAATTGCCTTCATCTAGAGGAAAAATGAAATTTCTGTGTCCCCGTGACAGTTAGGGGTTCTAATGCAGAGGCAGGGGCCTAAGTTAGGCTCCCACTGAGGAGAAGACCACTGTATCTTTCCCTGTGTTAACCTTTCTAACATCCTTAAGAAGGCAATCCAATCCCAGCACTCTTGGAAGCTGAGGCAGGAGGATCACAAGTTCATGCCCAGCCTGGGTAATTTCAAAACTTAATGAGACACTGTCTGTAAACAAAGAATAATCCTTTTTTTTTTTTTTTTTTTGGTACCAAGAATTAAACTCAGGACCTTGTGCTTGCTATGCAGGCACTTATGCCACTGAGCTATATCCCCGGCCCTTGTAAACAAAAAATAAAAAGTGCTGGGGATATAGCTCAGTGCAAAGGCCCGGGATTCACTCTCCAGTACTAGAGAGAGAACACCAGCCCACTCCTATATTGTAAGACTAGTAAGAGCCTTGTTTGGCCTTTTAAAAAGGTTCAGTGCATCTCAGAAAGACAGAAAAGCCAGTGTGGTAGCACATATCTGTAATTACAGATACTCAGGAAACCAAGACAGGATGATTAAAAGGTTGAGGCCAGTCTGAGCAACTTAGCAAGACCCTGTCTCAAAATATAAAAAGAGGTGTGTAGCTCAGTGGTTGAGCATCACTCAGTTTGATTCAAGTATCATTTAAAAAAAAAAAAGAATTTACACTAAGTTTGTAAAGAAAATACTCTAAAAAAGAGGGCATCTTAGTTACTTTCTCATTGTTGGGACAGTACTCAGCAGTCTGAAGTTAGAGAATGAGAGGTTTATTTGGGCTCACAGTTTGTAGAGGTTTCAGTCCATAGTGGGATGGCTCTAAGGCCAGGCGGCAGGGCAGAGGAGAAAGAGTTCATGGCATGGCAGGCAGGAAGCAGCAGCCCTCCTCCCTTTCCCTTTTTATTCCATCCAGGCTACAAGCCCATTGGCTGGTACCATTCATAACCAGGGTGAATCTTCCCTCTTCAGTAAATCCATCACCCACACCCGGAACCATGTTCAACCAATCAGTGGACTAGACCAGTACCACAAACCCATCATCCAGTCACTCCCAGAAGCCCCACCTATGAGAGCAGCCGGCTCTGGAGAGACACCTAGATATAAGCCATGACAGAGGGCGGTCACTTCATTTTTGCACCAAAGAAAGGGAAGGGAATTTTCCTTTTTACATTTGCAGTACCCCCTAACCCAGCATCCCTGCGTGGTTCTGAGAGCAGACACTGCCCTCCTCCACTCCATCAGTGCTCAAAGCCTCTTAGACTGTGCCCAAGGGAGGTCCATGCCTCCTGCGCACCTCACCACCTCCTGCTAGCAAGAGCAACACCCATGTTGGAACCTGAGTGGTGAGGGGTAGGCAGAATGAGGAGAAAACACTGGGCTCTCTTCTCCCAGAGAGGGCTCTAAAAGTCACAGGACTGCTGCCTTAGTGGGAAGACCAGCATGGACAGCGCAAACTCCGGAGCTCACACCCTAGCTCATTACTTACAGCCTCTGGGACCTTGGACATGTACTTTGTGGCCCCCTGCTTCAGTCTCCCCATGTATAGGCTGGCGAGCGATAATAGCACCTATGTTATAGGTGATCGGAGCATTGGAGGAATCAGTTATAAAAGCATGATGCAGGCCAGGGGTGCAGCTCAGTGGTAGAGCACTTGTCTAGCATGCACAAGGGCCTGGGTTCCATTCCCAGCACCACAAATGGAAATACTTGTATGTGCAGCACATGGTGCCGTCAGACATATAAGATGATGATCTGGTTATTTTTTTTTTAGCTTTCTTCTGTTATAAGAAAGCGAAAAGTCGGAAGACTGAGAGACGCAGGCAGGAAAATTCTTGAGCCAGGTATTTGCTTTCAATTGACTGGAGATGGCATTTTACATGGCCATCCAGGGAGTTTGCAAAGGGAGAGAGCAGCTCTGGGGACCCAGGTACATGGAACCAGAGAGGGACTCGGGCCTGAGGTCCAAGGAAGCACCCAGCTAGGACATTTAGCAGCAGCCTGGCCCTGCCTGCTCCAGGGCCTGCTTAGACAAACCCCATCTCCCCACCCTGCTGTTCTGCCCGAGCGCCTTTCCTGCTGTCCTTTTAAACAGCTTCACAAACAGCACTAGATAGACGCAGTTTTGTTCTCTCTTCCCAGTCCCCAGGAAAGGGCAGCGGGCTGGGTGAAGCCTGTGTGGGAGTCAGCACCTTTTAAAACCCACCCGGGCTCCTCCTAAGTACCTGAAGCTTCCCTGGATCTCTTTTCTTCCCACCAACTCTGGAACCCAGGAATGCAGACTGACTTTAATAGTATTCTAAGCAAAACATAAGTAGGGAAAATCTGCTGCGAAAACACAATTACCCAACGCATTGTGATGTTAAATAAAATTGATTGTTGGACTACCTTGTTTGGAAAGATCAGGCCATTTCCTTTGCCATTAGCAGAAGTAAACAAGAACTGACCTTACTTGTGAGGCTCTAGGGCAGAATAAACCTTCTTCCCTGGAATGAAGATCTGTGCAGGAGCCCAGCTCAGCCTGCCTTGGGGAAGATCCCTCACTCCCTGTCCCTGCAAGGCCATAAGGACAGCCCTGATGGTGCTGCTAATCAAGGGTGTGGGCATCGGCCCAGTAAGGGCAGTGTAACTGGCCGTCCCCACCTCCCTCTGCCCAGCTCCTCTCTGGTACAGGCAGGGGCTGTCACTGCAGTGGAATATGCCCACTAAGGCGATCTAGAAGGCCCAGCCTACCCCTTGGCTGGAAATACATCTTTCTGTAGCTCTGCCTTCAAAGAATCCCTTCTGTCCCTTCCTTCTCGGCACTGGTTCCTAAACCCAGTGGCCCAAAGTGACCCAAGGCAAGTTGTGCCACAGGACATTGCAACAAACCAAGTTAAATATCTTCATGAGCTTTATTTGTGATTCTAAAATCGGGCACACTTCATTCTATAAAGTAGAACCAGTGTTCCAGCGAGCTCAGCAGAGGTTTTATTTGTGATTTTTTGTTTATGTATGCTGGTGCTGCTGGGGATGGAACCCAGGGCCTCAGACATGCTGAGCACATGACATACCACTGAGCTATACCGCCAGCCCCTGGGAAGTTGGTTTTATAGGCAATGAAGGATCAAGAAAGCTGAAACAAGGAACAGAAAGTGGATTGGTTATTTTGAAGTTACTTTCCTTGTAAGGGGAAGGACAAACTGATTACAGGTTATTTCGGGTCTCCCCACTCCTTACTGGGGAATGAACCCAGGGCTTTCACACTGAGCTACATCCTCAACTTATTTTTTATTTTTTTATATCCAAAAATTAATCTTCTATAATTTTAATTCAATAACACCAACACTAAGAATTCTCTCCAGACTCACAGAAATAGAATCTCCCAGAGAAAGGAGCCTGGGAGGTTCTAAGTCTAACAAATTTATCAGCAAGTTTGGGAAATACTGCTTTAAGGAAGGGAGTCTCACCTCTGTGTGTATATCAGAATTACCCAAAAAGCTTGTTAAAAACATACACTTGTAAGAAAATTTAAAAATCCCAGCCCTCTGGGAGCAGGAAGAGCCCAACTTCCAGCCCAGCCTGGGTAACTTTGTGACTTAGCAAGACCCTGTCTCAAAATAGAAAGGTCTAGAGATGTACCTCAGTGTAAAAAAAAAAAAAACTGGACAAACCTGCTTCAGATTCAGGAAATGTGGTATGGGCTCTGGGAATGTGCGCTTCTAGCGTGTTCCCAAGTAGATCTGACACTCCTGGTTGGGGAGCCAGAGTGGAGAATGGGTTCTTTGCTTGGCGTCAGCTCTGCTGCTGGGCAGGGTCAGCCTGCATCGGGGGCTGTCCGGGGCATTGTGGGCTGTGTAGCAACATGATCGCCACCCAGCAGATAGAAATCATATCGCCTCCCCAGCTCCCACAGGTGACAAACAGATCATTCCCAGACATTATCAGTGTCCTCTGGAGGCAAAGGAGGACATGGATCTAGACCCACTCGGCTAAAGAGCCTCATGCCCTCCTCCCCCACCCCAAGTGGTAGAAGCATCCACTTCCCTCTGATGCACATGACCCAGACCTCCAAAACTTTCCTGGGGCACAAGACAGTCTGCTGACCCTTACTGCTCCTGTCAGCAGACCCACGGCACCCATAGCCTGTTAGAGCTGCAGACTCTCAGGCCCTATAGACAAGGTCTCCAGGTGATTTGTGCCCAGAGGGTGGTAGGAGAAGCCCCATCTCTGCTCTTTTTTTTTTTTTGGACAGGGTCTCACTATGTAGTGCAAGCTGACCTTGAACTCGCTTATGTAGCCTAGGCTGGCCTCAACCTCACAGTGATCCTCTTGCCTCATCCTCCCGAGTACTAAGAGTGCAGGTGTGCGCCACCACGCCCAGCTCCACTTAGGTTAGGTCACAGACTCTTGTTGGAATTCCTGAAGACTGCTAAAAGCAATACTGGTAGCAGTTCAACATGCTTAGCTGTTTTTTTTTCTTTTCAGTACTGAGGATTGAACCCCAGGACCTTTGCACTGACCTACATCCCCAACCTTTTTTTTAAATTTTGAGTTAGGGTCTTGCTAAATCTCTAAGTTGTCCATGCTGGGCTTAAATTTGGAATCCTGCCCCAGCCTCCCAGAGTTCTGGGATTACAGGTGTGGGCCACCATACCCAGCTGACCATGCTTAATTACGTGCATTTTACCTCAGTAAACAAAAAACATCCTGGTCGGTTGGCCTAGGCATCAGGATTCTTTGAGGTTGTTGGGTGTTTGCAAACCTTGTGAGGTTTATTTCATCTTTTCAAAGTCAGAGCTAAGTGCTCTTAGGTCCATTTTGCAGGTGGGGAAATTGAGGCTAATGGATGTTGGAGAACCTCAGCTAAGGTCACCAGGCATGTAAACTGCCCAGCTTGGCTCTGGACCTGGCTCTCAGGGTCTGTGGCTCTGTTCCCTCAGCCTGCTGGCGGCCAGTTGCTCCTCGCTGGCCTATGTATGTGTTATGTTTGAGGCTGGAGCCAGATGCCCTGATGGACGTGGTGCTGGAGGCATCGCCAGACACGAAACTGCTCTGGTGTCCCAAGCCCCATGATGCTTGTGAGGGAAACTCCGTGCCTGGCTGCTGCGGCTGGCCCGGCTCTCACCTCTGAGGAGTTCCCTCCTTGGCTTGTGCATCTTGATCCTTGTTAAACCCCACACCCCCTTTTCTTTTTGGTACTGGGGATTGAACCCAGGGCCTTTGCACTAAGCAACATCCCCAGCCCCTTCTCAAATTTTTTATTTTGAAGCAGAGTCTCACTGAATTAAATTGCTAAATTAACTTGCCATCTTCCTGCCTCAGCCTCCCATAGTGTTGGGAATGCAGGTGTGTGCACCACAGCCCACCAGTAGCATCTTTAAAATACCTTTGGATCTGTAACTAGTTGAATCTGTGGATGTGGACTGGGGTGGTGGTGGACAGTGGGCTGTCCACCCTCCGCTCACCTGGTAGGAGCTGTGCCTGCACTAACTGCCCCTGCCGTCTCCCCGCAGTACTCCCCCAGCATGAGGGCCACCTACATGTCCGTGGCGGATGAGGGCTCGAGGCACTACAGCGGTGAGTTTCCAGCCTAAAAGACTCCTGGATTCCTGTTGCCTCCTTCCTGTTTGGTTTTTAACAAATGCACACACAAGCTGCATTTCTTCTAATGGAAACCAAAGGCACGCGGAGACCGGCGGGCTCCTGTGGCTGCAGAGGCACGGCTGAGATCCTGGCCAAAGTCTCAGGTGGACACAAGGCCATCACCCAGTGGCTTCTCTCCGGTCCCGCTGTTCACCCCCGGGCGCCCCACCCCCACCAGGTGGGGAATGGCATCCCGGAGGGAGGCACCCGGATGCTGCCAGCCTGAGGGCGGTGTTCTCTTGGACCCCAGCGCCAGGACTGTGTGTCCTGTCAACTCAGCCAAAAGCCCAGGCAACTACTCTTCAGTCATTTCTTAGCGGGTGACGTGGGAAGGACTTACCAGGAGGCGTGCTTAGGGGAGGCAGTGTCCCTGCTGAGTCCACAACACTGTCCACATCTGAGTTCCTGGGCCACACGGACTCTGCCTGGGCCCCACGGGCTCAGTGTCAGGAGGCTTCTGCAGGGAGGTGGTGCTGGTGACCCGGGAGAAACACAGGAGGAAGCCTGCCACGTTCTGCCCATCATCTGTCCCCAACTGATGGTCTCAGGTATGGACAGTCACTTTGAAAATGACTTCACTGTTTTTCCCAGTGTTTCAAAAACAGTTTGATGATCCAAAGATTCCCAACGCATAGCACGTCCAGTTTTCACTGTAGATTTGGTACCCGCTCCTTAAGCTGGTTTTTACATTATTTAGATTTTTGCTGGCACCAGCCAGTTTATTACAGAGCTGGGGTACAGAGGAGGAATGGAGTTTTAAATAAAAGCGTGGTGAGGCATCCTGTCCCAAGGGTGTCTGACTTCGTCCCGCTTACCAGAGGGAGCCCTATAAGCAGAGTAAAGTCCTCTCTTCCGGAGAACAGCCAAATGCCCAAGACAACTCCCTTCCCTTTTGTCTGCAAGCAAGTTTGTCATCAAAGGTTTTAGCAAAATGACATAGCTTGATACAAGGACAGGCGTCCTTGCTACCTATGCTACCATGCTGTCCCCATGCCAGTGTCCTGGACCCTGACCTGCTAGGGGAGAAGTAGCTCGTTGGCTAGGAGGACATAATGACCCCCACCTTGCCTAGCATGGGGCCAGGATAGGGTCTGTGGTGCTCCCAGCCTCCCGCCAACCCACCGTGCACACCACCAGGCCCACGGCCTTCCATGCTAAGCAGTGTGTTGGCATTGGCTTGGGACAAGAATTCAGTTTCCATTTGGAAGAGTCGCTTTGTCATCACATGCCTACATCAGAGTCATCGTCACCTCCCAGCCAAGCCTCCAGGACAGAACTGGGCCACAGCATCCGGGGCCCCCTGTCTCACCTATGCTAACCTCGGCATCCCGTGAACTGTAAACCCCTCCTTGTGGTCATGTCATGTGCAGATAGCCCTGTGACATCAAGGTGTCCCCTCTAACATTTCATTCTTGGCAACTTAAGGGTTGTTTTTAATGCATGTAAATGAAACTAAAATTGCCCAGGTGTCCCTGGAGAAGCCAGGGGGACAGACCTCTGCGTGACATATGTACACCCTCACCTGGGAGAGAAATAAACCACTTGTACTAAAATGTGTGCTCAGCCTGTGACTTCTGCCCAGGAATACTGACCTTTAAAGCGCCCCGCTGGCCCCCTCTGCATTTGAAACATCACAGTGCATGGGGTTACAAGCAAATTCCAGTAGTGATTTGAGTGAGAGGATTTTTTTTTTCCTTGTCTTTTTGAGACAGGGTCTCGCTATGCAGTGCAGGCTGGCCTTGAGCTCACTTTGGAGCGCAGGCTGGTCTTGAACTCGCAACGATCCTCCTGCCTCAGCCTCCCAAGTGCTGGGATTACAGGCATGTGCCGCCACACCTGGCTTGAGTGACAGGATTGAAAGGGGACTAGGAATGGACGTCCCAGGCCTCTTGCATGGCCTCTAGCTGCTCTCACAGAACTTAAGGACAGTCCTTTTTTCTGCCGTAGCCATTCTCTGGGGTTCCCCTAATCATCATTGCAGTTAAGGTTACTAATAATAGTAGCATTTATTGAGTGCTTTTTGTGCCAGGGACTGTCTGAGGTGTGTGTGCATGTGTAAGGGATTTTGTTGTGCTGTTTTTTGTCATACTGGGGACTGAACCCAGGGTTGCTATATCCCTGAGCCCCTACCACCACCGCCACTGCCACCACTGCCACTGCCACTGACACCTTTTCAAGATAAGAGTCATGCTAAGTTGCATAGGCAGGTCTCAAACTTGATATCCTCCTGCCTCAGCCTCCCTGGTAGCTGAGATTACAGGCATGTACCACATTGCCCAGCTATATGTTAATTTTTATTAAAACCTCGCAATAACCCTAAGAGGCCTTTCATTCTGCATACATACTAGTTAACAGATGCATTGAGGCCAAGGGCCTGGTTGGAGTGAGTGCAGAACCAGAAGTTTCCAGCCCAGAGCTCAAGCCCCAGCCCCCTTCATGGTACCCTGGGATTGGGCAGTGGTCAGGCAGCAGCTGCCTCCTGTGTGAGGCCCGTGAAGTCCCTCTTTCTCCTCCACCAGCGTCACGTTGTCCTTGCGGCAGGCTCCACCTAAACATTTGTTCTCGCTGGGCTGCCTCCCCAGCCAGGGGCCTCAGACGCAGGATCCTTCCCGCTTGCTTTGCTGAGTCCCTGGGGAAGCAGGGCCAGCTGGGGGTCTGCCCCCGGCTCCGCTCTCAAAGCCATAAGCAGCTGATGATGCTTCGCCGCTCTCCCCACGTGGACTGCACTTTCGGGAGCTCTGGAATGAGTAGCCGCAGCGCTCTCGTCCTGTGGGAGCATTTGAGCTGGGATCCAGACAGCCCTGCAGAACTGGGCGGCCGAATCCGGCCTCGGATGAAATGGTTTTCCCAGTCCTCCTCTCTGTCTGGTCTCAGGGATCCACGGGCAGCAGGGAAATGGCTTGGAGCACTGGGGAAACTTTTTCGTGGTTAATTTGATGTTGTGAGGGCAGCTGCAGCTCCAGAGCCCGGTGGGATCAGCTTTGGGGGCTTTTATTGTCTGTAATCTGGACAGAGCCGAGTGGCAGCTGGGACCTGAAGCAGGAAAGAGGCCCTGAAAACGCACGGGCCTAGAGGTGAGTTGGTCAGCGCCACACGCGTCACCTCCTGTCCCACTTTGGCCTGCGGCAGAGGAGTGGGGAGAGGCGTTGCCGTGCCACTGCCTGGTGCGTGGCTCACCTTTGCCATCCTCCCAGCCGCCGGACTGCAGGCCGCAGGGAGATGGGCAGCTGGCAGCCTGGAGAGGAAGAGCAGTGACCGCCAGGCCCTTGTGAGCTGGTCCTTCACCAGGAGCACACATATGACCCAGGCTGCCCTTCACTCAACTTGCTGCTTGAGGGAGGTGGGGGGTTCCTTCTCCAAAGTCGTTTCCCCCACACGCTTTTTCCCAGCTGTGAAGCCTTGTGGCCTCATGTACAGGAGAAGCAGAAGGTTAGCCCTGCCCCTTGGCTCCATACACTGCTGAGGGGGAGGCCGGGGTGCTCACTGACAAACCTTCCTTCTCCCTACTCTCCTTTCTTTCAATTCACCAAAATGTACTGACTGTACTGCCGGCCGGCCACACCCATGGGCCTAGCCTGACCTCCTGCTTTGTATGGCCTGTGAGTATAGAGTAGGAATAGTTGTTTTTGATTGACTGATTGATAGAGTCTCACTGTGTTGCCCAAGCTGGTCTCAAATTCCTGAACTCAAGTGATCCCCCTGAAAGGGAAAAACTGTGCAAGAGAAATTGTTCTTCTTAAAATTTTGTTCTTTGAAACTGCCTAGCTCTGTAACTGCTTCATGGCTCTGTAATTACCTTCTTCTCCATTTTTTTTTTTTTTTTTCCTTAGAGACAAGGTCTCACTATGCAGTTAGGGCTGGCTTTGAGCTCACTTTGTAGCCCAGGCTGGCCTCAAACTCACAACAATCCTCCTGCCTCAGCCTCCTGAATGCTGGGATTACAGGTGTGTGCCACCACACTTGGCTCCGTAATTACCTTCTTGACCCCTGTAACCATAAAAGCATAACTAAACATACAAGATGATCATTAGTCTGCCCATGTAACCAATGGTCTCACACTGCTAGCTAATCAGAAGAACTGCCAGGCTGTTCTGTCTCATGTTTGTACCTCCTGCTTGGGCATCACATAAAAGCCCTAGACCACCAGAGATCAGGGCCTGATATTTTGAGAGTGATCCCAGTCAGTGCCCTTTGACATAAATAAATCTGCCTCCAAATCCTGGATGTGGATTCTGTGTTTCTGCTTACTGTTGCACCCCGACCTCAGCTTCCTCAGTGTTGGAAGTACAGGCAGGTGTACCATGCTTAGCTAGAGTTCATGTGTGTGTGTGT